ACAAAAGCAGGACTCCATGACCGAGACCGGATCACAGAGCTTCACAAGAAGCTCACCGGTCGGATCCGCCTAAACAGCCAAGATATCTACGAGCGGTACGAGGAGCTTACGTTTGCTCAATATCGTGACCGGATGACTGCCCGGTATCTTGTCCAGGTTGACGCGTTAGAGGACTGAAGGAGGACCGAGAGGAGGTTGCGAAGACTAGGATACCGACCCCAGACCGAGGAATAATCCGCCTCCTCGGTCAAAGGCAGTCCGATTCGCTCCCAAACCGAGTTACGGGCCCAGCGACCCTCGACTCCGCCGACTACCACGTTGCCGTCTGATGGTACCTTTGGGGAACTGTTTCGTTTGCAAAAGACCGGGCCATCAGGCTGCCGTCTGTCCGACAAAGGATCCCCACGAGTGGCCGCACTTGTGGCGGCAGTGGGGACGGTAAACGACCAACTGAGAGCGTTATTGGAAGGATCGGACAGCGAAGGTAGCGAGTCGCAGGACGATCAAGATGAGGAGTCCGAGGTAGCGGGAAATGCCATAGCCTGAGCAAAGGCTCCCGCACAGGCTATATCCTAAGTATTCGCAAGCTTACTGAGAACTTGAACTTATCGACAATTGATCACTTAATTGGCGGTCCTAGTTTTGTGATTAATAGCACGATTCGCAAACATGGTCTCGCTATCTCAGTACGCATCCTTGTGGATACCGGAGCACAAACGTGGCTATTAGGCAACTCACGCCTAACAAAGCCAGCAGCTAAACGACTCGACCTCCTAGACGCAGCTATACAGCGCCGCGTTATATTAAGGGAATTGATGGTCGTGCTCAGTGTATCACTTCTTCTATCCAAGCAGACTTCCAGCTCCAGGGCGGACTTTCCGCGATCAACCGATCCTTGAGGCCGACCTAGGGACGAGGAACGATTTCCACCTGATCGTAGGACTTATGTTCTTGAGCCATTTCGATATCCGTCTCGACTGCCGCCGTCGTCGCCTTATCTTCCCTCCTGAGCTGGAAGCCCAGAGGACTGGATCCCGGATATTGCACTTAAGGCTTCTCGTCTTATGTACCGAAGCCAGTTTCCCTACGAGTTCAGGCCGACGTAGAGCGGCGAGACCACCTTTGGGAAGAAGCAGAAAGACAGGACCAGGAAGAAGACGGCGCGGCCCATATCATCCAGATCTCTCCGCGATACAGGAACCAACAGGGCCACGAGCACCATCGGCCCACGGCAACATCGTCCACGGTACTCTACTCATCGAGGGGATGACCTGGGAAGATGAACCGAGCACTGGCGGGCATCGAGTGGAGAGACCCTGCCAGAAGGATATCAGGCCACGGTACCAACGGAGGCGCAGGATCTCGATATACTGATGATTTCGGCACCAGCATTCCACGCAGGTATCCGTCGCAGGAAGGACCATCGGCATGCCTACGAAGATGTGACTTTCCTCAACCTTCACATGATCGATAAGGCGCTCGGGGAAAGGGGCGAGCAGGATAACCAACAGGACGAGGACGACCGTTTCTCGCAGAAAAGCTACCTCCAGAGCTCGCAGACCTAGCCGACGTGTTCTCCCGCGAGGACAGCAATAGGATGCCTCCGTCCCGCCCAGGGGTAGACCATAAGATCGAACTAACAGGGCCTGCTGCGTTACGAACGCACCCATTGTACAGCCTTAACCGCGAACAGCTGGAGACTATGAAGGAGTATTTACAGGATAGTCTCCAGAAGGGCTTCATTGAGCCAAGCAGCGCACAGTTCGGATCCCTGTCTGTTTTGCAAAAAGAAGGATGGCAAGCTGCGTTTTGCGTAGATTTCCGGGAACTCAATCAGCTAACTAAGAAGGATCGGTACCCTATCCCTCTTATTAGCGAGACCCTAGACCGCATTGCGAAGGCGAAGATATTTACGAAGCTAGATATTAGGCAGGCGTTCCACCGGATCCGGCTCGAACCGGATTCAGTCGAACTAACCGCCTTCCGCACGCGTTACGGCCAGTTCCACTACAAGGTCCTTCCTTCGGGTTATGCAACGGGCCTAGTACGTTCCAACGGTTTATTAACACGACCCTTTGGGACTACCTCGACTCTTTCTGTACGGCCTACCTCGATGATATCCTCGTGTTCTCCGAAGATAAGAAGGAACATATGCGAAACGTACGGCTCGTTCTAGAGCGACTTCGGGAAGCGGGTCTTCAAGTAGACATCAAGAAATGCGAATTCGGTGTCACAAAGACGGATTTCCTTGGGTTTATTATTAGTACGGATGGTATCTCCGTCGACCCTAGGAAAGTCTCGGCTATCCTGACCTGGCAGACCCCACGATGCAAAAAAGAGCTGCAGTCCTTCCTCGGATTCTGCAACTTCTACCGTCGGTTTATCCGTAACTACGGTAGAATCTGCCGACCCTAAACCGCTTGACAGGGAGAGTAGGTGGGATTTCGACGACCGGTGCCTTGAGGCCTTCGAGACCCTAAAGACAGCTCTAACTACCGCGCCAGTCCTCGTCCACTTCATAGAGGACCGCGAGACGAAGCTAGAGACTGACGCGTCGGATGGGGTTATCGCGGGCGTGCTCTCACAACTAGCGGACGATGGACAATGGCACCCGGTCTCGTTCCTTACGAAAACGATGAACGCAGCGGAGTGTAACTATGAGATACACGATAAGGAGCTCCTGGCTATTATCGTGTGCCTGAAGGAATGGATGCCCCTTGTATCCCTAGTCGCTCCCGGAGTCATCAAGATCTTCACCGACCACCAAGCCCTCCAGTACTTCGCTACAAAGAGGATGCTAAACGCACGGCAAGCTCGATGGATCGAGACCCTTGCTATGGTCGGATTCGAAATCCACTATCGCCCGGGCAAGCAAAACGTCGTCGCCGACGCTCTTTCCCGCAAGGCCCAGGACGTGCAGTTACAGAAGGCGCTCAAGGAGTTGAACCGCTCGCAGATCCTAATCCCAGCAACTCAGTTTGCAGGGGGCACGACGGGAGGGGCTGCTATAGCCGCAGGCGCCGCAGGCGGAGACGACCCTACTATTGCCATATATACCCCCGGTTCCGCAAGACAAGCCGAGACCCCAAACTCTAGAGATGGGTGCCTACTGGAAGGATTCGAGCTTATCGAAGCGATCCTCCAGGCAAACCGGGCTTCACCCTCGCTACGCTCCGAAAGGGAGCAAGCAGAGATACCAGACTCCCGGTTCCAAGTCCAGAGTGGCCTCCTCTGTTACGATGGACGACTAGTCGTCCCCGACGAGGCGAACCTACGGACTGCCCTTTGTCACGAGGCGCACCGTCCGCGAAGTCAGGCACATCCCGGCCGGAATAAGATGAGGAAGATCTTAACGAGACGGTACTACTGGCTCGGGATAGGAGGTTTTATTGACCGTTACTGCGCGAACTGCGCGGACTGCAAGCGGTCCCAAGACTCCCGCCTCCGACCAGCAGGACTACTCCAGCCACTGCCAATTCCGGAGCGCCCCTGGCAGCACATCTCTATGGACTTTAAGACAATGCCACGAGACAAGAAGGGTATACGGCGGTCTTCGTTACGGTCTGTCGGTTGAGCAAGAGGACGTTCTCCCTACCGACATATACGACCTGTACCGCGCAGGATATGGCCTGGCTTTTCTACGAGCATATCTGGAGGACCTACGGCGCACCGGAGACCATTACGTCAGATCGCGGGCCGCAGTTTATTTCGAGCTTTTGGAACGAACTTTGTCGCCTCGTGGGGACGAAGATGAAGCTATCTACGGCCGAACATCCTCAGACGGACGGTCAGACCGAGATAATAAACCAGTTCCTACAGACAAAGCTCCGTCCCTATCTAGACTACTACCAGGATAACTGGTCCGAAATGCTCCCCTGCTTGGATTTCGCACACTCAACCCACCCACACGAGAGCATCGGTCTAGCACCTGCGGAGCTTGAGATGGGATACTTACCCCGAATGTCGTTCGACTGGTCCGTGGCGCCACCCACAGCGACGGCCCCCCCCAGAGAGCAGCTAGGGCGAACAGCGGCGCAGCAGTTCGCCTCCCGGGCCGCCGAGGGGGTCCGGTGGGCGAGGGAAACCCTACTCACCAAGCAGGCGGAATACAAGCGGCAGGCGGATAAACGCCGTAGGGAGGTCGACTGGGAGGTAGGCGACCTGGTATACCTGAAAAAGGGACACTGGTCAACGGGACGCCCGAGTGACGGCTTGGATCAACCCTACCTAGGCCCGTTTCGGGTCTTATCGGCTAAGGGGCCAAACGCTTTCGAATTGGACCTACCACCAACGATGAAAATCCACCGGGTTATTAACGCTAGCCGACTACTTAAAGCGCCCTCGGATCCGGTACCAGGACAGACCTACGAACCGCCCCGCCGGTAGTCATACAGGGGAATCCGAGTGGGAGATCGACCAAGTCCTTGCATCCAGGATTGCCAGGGGAAGCTGCAATACCAGGTTAGTTGGAAGGGTTGGGACCCGGACCCAGATTGGTATCTAGCGAGTAACTTCAAAACGCTCCGCTAGCCCTACAACACTTCCACAACGCCCACCCCGATAAGCCTGGCCCTCCGGGCCGCTTAGCTGCATGGATCAAGCAGCGGCGACGGACCAAGTCGCCCTAGACACACCAGATGACGACCTCCCGACTCAACGGCAAGACAACACAAAAATGAGGCGACGGCGGGTAACGAAGTAGGTATGTCTCTGGGTATTGGCATTACGGCATTGGTCAGAGCTCGGGGCGAGCTCTCCGGAAGGAGGGGGTAGTGTCAGGGCCCTACCTGGGACCCCTGGGTTACCGTGACACACCTGGGGACTACTACGGAAACCGCGGACGGGCACGGCACCCGCGGACGGGCAGCTCCGGGCACGGGCAGCTCCGGGCACGGGCAGCTCCGACGGTAGGTACGGGCAGCCCCGTCATCCAGGTCCGAAGCGACAGGGAGGATATGAGGAGGTCACGGCGTTAGGAGTTATGTGGTTTTCTTTCCTCTTCATCTTAGTATTCTTTCGTTACAGAGTATCTTGCTAGCTTTGTCTGCAGTCTCCTTTCGCTCGCCGTGACACAAATTCGGGATCGCTGATGCATCGGCATCGCTTGGGTCCTCTTCCACAACCTCCTCAACGGGGCCCTGGGGGACTTCGCCGTCAGGTATGTCAGCCACTTGGCTGGCAATGGAAGCAACTATGCTGCCATCAAGAGGAATCCGTTGCAGGCGATTCTGGCTCACAACAATATCGCGATAGCCCGGGTGGTGACGCTGTAGGTAATGCAGCCAGGCCGACAGGCATGAGCGACGTACCCGGAAATCGCGAGCAAACTGTTGCCGGAAGCGAGGGTCGCCCTCTATATTAGGAGGCCGCAGGAGGATGATATCTAGCTCTTCAGGTAGGACTGGGAGCTCTTCAAAAAGCCTGCCAACATTGCGAAGGAAGTGGACAACGTGACCGCGATATTTATACTGAGCGCCACGCACCTGCAGGACTTTCACGTGTACGTGAACTCTAGCAATGAGCATCTCCTCGACCATCGTTAGATCAGGTAGATCGGCGGGGACTTCCCAAAGTCAAGGTGATTCGCAGCGCTAAAGAAGTACGGTTCGTTAGGGGCTTTCTTCCTGTCTCGACCAATGCAGCGACTGCAGATTTTCAAGCTATTTCGCTTCATATCGAACCAACGCTCCTGGCAGCGAATGCAACTATGCATCTTGTCGTCATTCACAGCAGTATAGAACTCGCGCACAAGGGCTTGATCCCCCTCACTAAGGGCAGGTAAGTCAAGGTCCCTGTAAAAGGCGGATCAACTATCTGATCGAACTGTCGCTCTTCAGGCTGTGGCCGTGGCCGGGGGTTAATGTTGACTCGACGTGTATAGCGGCCGCGGCGATGACTCTGTGGCAGTAATGAAGGAGGGGTACGAAGCGGGGGAAGAGATTCCTGTGGTATAGGCGTGCCTTGCACAACAGAAGCCGATTGAAGAGTGCCTTGAGGAATTGGCGTTTGTGGAATCGGCGTGCCCAGAACTACTGTTGGCAGGCCAAAGGTAGGAGGGGTGGAAGGTCCTCTACCGCGCTTGAGGTAGATGGCCTCGGCAGAGGTCTAGGCAGTCCCTGGAGTGCGGGTGCCAGGCACGGCATAAAGTTGATGTGGCAGGGGTCGTAAGGCTTGCACACAGGCAGGCGTTGGCGCAGTCCGCCTTGAAGGCGTCAGGTTAGCTAGAGAATCGGTCCGTTTCGTGGCTCTGCGTGGCGATAGCCTCAAAGCGAAATTCCGCATTGCGGCAACGGCGGCTCGAGATTCGGTAACCCGTTCCTTTCGGCGTGCCCTACAGCTAGCACAGTCTCTTGTAAACTTCGTAGGGTCCTTGACGCTTCGAAATTCGACTTCGGGCAGGTCTTGCTTGCAGGTATGGCAATTGAACTGCCTGGGGTATGTCGTCCTCCATCTGGCCGTATATGTATGTATCCACCTCTTACCCACCAGACTGCTAGATGAGGCAGAATTACCGAAGAATATTGGGAGGTGGGCCGGCTGCCGAGGTAATATGTGAACCTATGTACCGTTAGTAACCTGATGAGTTTGATATATTGGGCAGAACAGGGAAGCAGCCGCCATGTAGGTTAGTTAGTGTGAAGAGTGCCGAAGAATGGAAGAACTGAAAGAAAGCTCTTGGAGAGCTTGCCAGGCTGGCTAGTTACCTAGTCAACGCTCAGGGGTAATTTTTGCGGGCCTTCATTTGGTGGCGTTATCGGTCGACCAATCCGCGCACGAGTTGAGCACAGGCCAGGCCAATTAGCCAATCAGAGGAGGTTTTATGCTCGAATCTTTCTGACTGAGTAGAACGCCCTTCGGGCTGAATAACGAGGGGAAGGCTCGCCAGCCGCGGCTCGCGCAAAGAGGCCTTTCGGAACGAAAGTTGGCGATGGCGACAGGAGAAAGTCGGGGAGAGGAGAGAGTTGGCGACAGGAGATAGGAGACAGGGGAAGTGAGAGGAAGACAGGAAGAAGAGTGAGATATGAGATATGAGATGGAGATCCGGTGAGAGACGTAGAGCATTATCGTGAGTGAAATCGAGACAGAGCGTCAGAGAGGCAGCCTAGGCCGCTGCAAGGAGATTTTGCTTTGCAAAGGCGCAAAGGGCGTGGAGAGGCGGCAGGGGTGAAGAGAGTTGTGGGTGGGTAATGCATGTGTGGGCGAGTGGAAGGCTCTGAGGATTTACAGGTGCTATAAGTGGTGGATATAAACAGAATAAGGAGTATATTGAGAAGTTTTGACTGGATTGTCTTTGTGAAAAGGAGAGCAAGAGGAGAAGGAAATATCCCATTAGGGCCTTTCGCACTTGAGTTTGAGGATGATGAAACATGTTCCTTGTCATGTTGTGTTGTTTCGTTCGTTGCTTTACAGAATATTCTTGGGCGGATGTCGGGCGCGGTGGGGTCGGGAAGAGATTGACGCCGGAGGTCTGATAGGGCCAGAGGCGGATGTGGCTGGGTGATTGACTGGCTCGGTGTCCGTCTCTGAGTCTCCGGGGTCTTCGTGGGACAGAAGGGAGGAAGTGTCGGATTTGGCGGGGCCTCGACTATCACAGGCGGCGACTATGGTGGAAATTTCTGGAGAAAGTCGCGGTCTCTTGGTTGGGGTTTGGTCGGGATCGGGCAATGACCGCTTTGATGTCATCATAAGGATCGACTGACCTAGATGCAGGCGGCGTGGGGAGGCGCCGCTTGGGGCGGCATTGCGTTTTTGGTAGAGGTAAACCTGGCCAACGCATCGCTATAGTCCGAGGGTTGCCGACTGAGCCCTGGGTGTCGTCGGCAGTAGCTGTGTCGCAGAAGCCTGGTTGGACATGGCCCTGTCAAGGAAAGTCCATGTATCGGGGACGACGATGAAGATATAGTCTTGCTCGAAGGCCGGGGCATGTGTCATGATCTGGTGATCGAGTAAGCCGGCGATTTTGCCCGTGCAGGTGAGGAGAGCGTTCGGCTGGAACTGGCTATCGCGCCTCTCGGTCATCTTCTTGCATAGGAGGTCCAAGGATTGGCGTGAATGGGAAGATGACGAAAAGTTGAAAGGGATGAAAGCCCTTGAAGGGTGTTTTGCCCGGAATCCCAGGACAGATAAAGGTCGAGAGCTGGACAAAGCCGCAACAGCTCAGCTGGGTGTCGTCAAGGGCCGCAGCCGAGTTTCCATGCAGAAGGTCGCGGCCGGAACCGATGACAGGTCCCGTGAAGGAGACAATTGGTTGTATCGCTGGGAAGGCATCCGCCGAGCCGAGGGTGCGAGGGATGACTCTGTGGCCATCGTCAGAGATGGTAGTGGTGACGGAGGTCTGGAGCATACACCTACGGCTGGTAGCTGTGGTCGCGGACGATGAGAGCCGGGATGGTGTATTCTGTAATGTTGTCATCCTCCGACTCGAAGCTATCACGTCGCTCGATTTCCCACGTCAGGGCAAAGGGATGAACACGGCCGACCATAAAGAACCACTGCTCGGTCCATTCCGAGGGGATTATCTGTTGGTTGTATATGGAAATATTAAGGCTCAAGAAGATGCAGGTCGATGGATTGTCAGGATCTGACCGGATTGCTGCATACTCTGGAGTCGACAGCCATGAGGGCGTTGGAAGGAAGACCTCGCTAGGGTTTCTGCGTTGAGCCCTTTGACACGATGCTCATTCTGGTAGGCGAACCTAGACGGGCAGCCGGGCTGGACAAAGGCCATCATGGACATGTCGGCGCCAGCATTTTCTGGCTGTCAAGAGGTTGCCGCGGGGAGGACGAGGTATCGACGTTGAGCTGGGAGGCCGACATCGTGAGAACATGGCAGATGTGGTCACCGTGGAAGTGTAAAGGAGGGTTAGGCAGAGTAGAGGTAGGCATCCTATAAAGCAGGTTTTCTTGCTGCTCGAAAGAGGGCTCGTGGCTCGGGTCGGGGAGACTTGAGAGTCAGTGAATGCTACCTAGGTGATAGATCAGAAGCGGGGGTATGCGGGAATGAGCTGGCGAGGTTCTCGAGCAGTCTCGACCATCTGGTTCTGTGGTCGTGAGTGAAGTAGGGAGCCGGGGGTTGGAAGTTGAGTAGGGGTGATGGCTATGTTGCGAGAAGTTGGAGGTCGGCGAACGGTAAGGTTAGTGTGGGTAAGACTGCGGAGAAAGAAAGTCCAGTAGTCCCCTTCGGTGTCATCGTTGCATGGAGTAGATAGCAAAGGGGGCAATACCGAATGAGAGTGAAGGAAAGAAAGAGGTTATGGTAGTATTGCAGGACTCCCTTTGACGGTCGTCGGTAGTTGGATGGGCATTGCGTGCGGCTGAGCGAGGCGGGTGCCGACCGTGTCGAGTCTACTATTGGGACACGGTGAAGTCGGATATATGGGTCGACCTGAGGAGGAGGATGCGAGTTGGTCACGAGAACTTTCCAAGAGGGTTTGCAAGTCGAGACTCCGGTGGCTAGCGACTACAAGAGGACAGGCAGGGGTCCTGGCTATCGCTTTAGCATTAAGGCCGTTGATGCGACATTGGTGCTGGCGAGGGAGCAAATCTAGAAGGGTAGTCCGGCTGCATGAGGGACGTCATGGACATGTTATCGCCGGCAGCCTTGTGGCTGTTGCTCGACAAGGCGGATTGGCGGGTATTGATGGTGAACTGATGCGCAAGGTTGGTAGGATGGTGTTGGAAGGGCTGAAGAGTATGGTTTGAAGTGTGCGGCAGGCGGTTGTCGCGGCCATCTCCATGTGCCGGAGGTCGGCAGTGGCCAGGGATTCGCTGGAGTGCGCAAAAGAGAGCACGGCGATGGAAGGGTCGCTTTTGGCAAAGCCGGGGTAGCAGGTCGCACGTGGAGACCAGGCGAGGCCGGGACGGTGGACGCACATAGATAGGCATGGTAACGGGGGAATATAGAGGGGTAGTATTGCATCGCCTCGGTACCATAGGGAAGCATTTTATAGGGAAGCTATAAGGGAAGAAACGCCACGGCCATGAGGGAAGTGATGGCTAGGGAGCTTCCCATTCGGGAGAAGTAGCGTCGTCAACAAGCGAGACTGTCCAAGTGGAGGTGCTCCGGAGCCAAAGCTTTATAGCCTGTTGCCAATTTACGGCAGTCGACGTCGAGGAGGCAGCAGCATGGCGGACAGTCCTGCAGTGAAGTTAAGCGAGGCGGTTGCTCACCCTGAAGCCTGTTCGTTGTCAGTCGGGGATGGAGAAGAGGTGAGAACGTGAGCGGGTCGGGTTCGGGGCTCGGAGATGGTGCGACAGGAGCCGGTGTAGATGTGGTGGCAGCTTCTGAGAGGGCCGCAGAGCACGGGGAGAGCCTGGGACGGTTACGAAGATACGAATCACGGGCGAATGCGGCATCAACGTTCCGGCCGATTCAGCCTAGGAAACCTGTGGTTGAAGACACCGCATGGAGACAGCACGCAGAAGCAATTGCGAGGTCGTTGCCGAGAAGACCGCCGCGAGGCGGTTTGCGGTCAAACAGAGCACGGAAGTTCCATAATATGGTTAGCAGCGGAAGTTCCGCGCAACATCAGTCACCGGGTCAGCTTCGGAGGCCCCTGTTGCCTAGGGAACGTGGAGATATGGGGTAGCGGACTCTGATCGTCCGCTCCTCATCGGCACTTTCTGCCTCAGGAGGAGATCCTGAAGATGAGGAGCAACGTGTTACGGCGGCGGCGGGCGATGTCCCGAGTGTTCATTCGAAGGAGGTACCGAAGCTTCGATCCATCCAGCCTAGGGAACCGGTATTCGACAACTTAAGAGAAAACGGGCAATTAGCAGCAGCGATTGCGTCTGGTTTGCCCAAGCGCCGTCGGGGACGGAGTTGGCGGGTAAAGGGAGTACCAGGCCGCAGGGGTGTCTCCAACGCAGCAGGTACGGCGCAGCATCCGGGGCCGTCTCCTGTGGGGGTGGGCGACGCCGCGGCAGAGCCAGCGGACGCTTCGCTGAGCGGGCGGAGGCTGCAGCAAAGGGAGGTGGGCGGCTCATCGCGGGTGGCGGCTGGGGAGCCCGTGCAGTTTGATCGGCAGCAAGAACGAGGAGAGTGCTGGAAAGGGCAAGGACTGAGGTCAAGGTTCGGCGTGGAAAACGTTCGCCAGCACGGCCCGGTGCCTGTCCAGTGCAAAGGGCCGGATGGCGTGTCAGGGGATGCGCACGTAGTCGGGCAGTCGTCGCCAAAGCTGCCGCATCCGACGGCTTGCGAAGAAGCGAATCAGCCACGGAGAGAAGAAATCATGGATCGGAGGCGGCCCGGAGGCGGCCCCGGAGGCGGGAGAAGAGAAAACGTCTTCCTGGTCCGGACGAGCGCCCGAGAAAACAGATTCGGAGGAATCGGAAGGCAGAGGAGTCGGGAGCTGCGGGCCGAAGACCTGGCGAGTGTGCTGCGTTTTTGGAGGAAGACTTCGCCATGAAGGAGAGGCTGTCTAACGATCAGACGTGGTGTACGCCAATACCGCACGACAGGAAGGTTTCGACGGTGCGGATTTTTATCAGGCGTTCCACGATGCGAGCACGTTGCCGATACGGACCTGCATGATGTGCTACCGCAAGCGTACGAGAAAAGAGCTGAGGAGATCAGATGGGATCAATGGCTGTCAAGCTGCGTGCCAGAGGGCGGCCGCTCACCATTTTCATGCCGGAGCTGCTTTCCCGAAGGCGAGCCCGTGTCGGTGTGTGCGGAGTGTGCCCGATGCCTGGCGCGCGGGAGTCTGTCGCCGGCGGTCCATCTTCACACTCGCCTTGGCTGTGAGCACATGTTCCTGACGAGCTCAAGGGACTCACGCTGGTCGAAGAGAAGCTCGTCTCGCTCAACTCCTGCTATGGGTTTGTCACGAGATATAGCATTCCGGGCGGGCAGAGGCAGGCCGTGAGGTATCCGAGGCACGTCAAGGGCCACATCACAGTGTTTCCCAACAACGTGCAGGAGCTGGCGACCAGGTGCTCCCGCACCCCTTTGCAAGCACTGGACGAGATCCACGTTTCGTGGCAGGGCGTGGAGAAGCCGGCACCGAGCGACCTGTCGAGTCTCTTGTCGGTGAGGCGGCGGGTCGTCGAGAGGGCTCTTGTTTGGCTGAAGAGGAGCAACCCCCACTACGCCGAGATCGAGATCGACGTGGCGGAGATGGAGAGTTGGGAGACCCGATAGACGGGGTGCCGGCCTTGGTGTATGATCGCATGGAGCGGAACGAGCCGTCCGCATGGGAGAAAACGCGGACGGCGCACGTTGTGCCGCCCACGGAGCGCGCCATGGACGACGAGGGGTCGGTGGAGATCGAGGAACTCTTCGCTCTGCTCAAGCAAAGGCAGGAAACGGGAGGCGAGGCTGAAGGGCACGGGCCCAACGAAGAAGGCGCGGGTCGTGATGGAGTTGGTGCTAGCCCCGATCAGAACGTTCGACCAATCAACGAGGTGACGTCTTCCGGCATGTTTGGGCTGGACGGACCGCCAGACGTGGCGGATGTCGAGAAGCTGCGGTTTGCCTGTGACGCTGTTGGCGCAGGTGCCGACGACGGCCGCGCGGGCCCGAGAACGTGGGTCGGATCCTCGGTGGGGGGGGGTCGAGGGCGTGGCGACGATGGCAGTGAGCCATACATTCGAGTCTCGCGGGGGGATGAGTTTGCCGACTCCTTTGAGACGTCCTTCTTCGCCAGAACGTTCCCGACCCTGTTCCCATTTGGCGTTGGGGGACCAAGGCTGGCCGAAGAGGCCATAGCCGAGGCGGGAAGGCCCTTACCAACTTGCGAGGCACCGGTAGAGCTGTTGAGGCAGGGGCGGCAGCGGGAGACATCGTATCCTCCCGAAGCTTGAACCTCCGGATCTGGGCCGACATCGTGCTCCGGCGCCATGGTGGCCGGTTTGCGTTGCACCACATATTTGCATTTCTCGTCTTCAACATGGGGGTGCGGTCGAGGAACCGCCGCGTCAGCATGCTGAGTGTGGCGAGGAAGGACTTCGGCAAGGTCGAGCGCGTTGCCCGCTCGATGACCGCGCAAAGGTTAGCGGCGGCGAGGGTCGAGTTGGAGAGCTCGGGCAAGACGACCGATGAGGGCGTGAAGGAGCTTCTCAGGAGCCTCTCGCTGTACGGCCACCGGCAACCCATGTCGAGAGAGTTCGGCTCAATATGCGGCGGAAAATCCAGTCGCTCATCGTTGGCTACGGCGTTCCGGCCATCTGGTTCACCATCAACCCAAACGACATTACGAACCCGGTGAAGCTGCGACTGGCGGCATATCGGACACGCGATCCCGGCGCGGCCGAGGAGTTCCTAGAAGGCCTTGGGAGTGCGTACAAGCGGACAAGGCTGGCCATGTCCGATCCGATGAGCGCCGCCGTATTCTTCCACCGGGAGATGAAGCTGTTCTTCGATCATTACGTGAAGGTCGGAGAAGAGTCGGTATTCGGGCGCATCGGCAAGTACTATGGCGCTGTGGAGACCAACGAACGAGGGCGCTTCATGTTCACGGCTTGCTCTGGTTGCATGGAAACGCGCATCTCAGCTCGATGCTTGCCGACATCCACGGGAGGATCAGGCGGCGTATCGCGAGCGAATCATACGATACGTCGATAGTGTCTTCTCCGAGGTAAGAATAGCTAAGACGTGTCACTGAGAACCTGAATTGCTCGTCCGATGGACAAACGGGGCCAGGCTGACGTGCAAGATAGGATCTGGATCAGGAAGGGTTCTGCGCCGTGCAAGCGGGGCGATCTGTGACGTCCGATATTTCCTCCCTGCTGGACAACACCGAGCAGTTTTCGGCCGCATTTGACCAGGAGGCCAACTTCTGTGCCGGCGCTACACAGGTTCACACGCATAGCCCGACCTGTGTCAAGTATTCCTTGGGCAAAGGAGCGCGGAAGGAATCTATGCCGGTTTAAGTCTCCATGGAGGTTGGTCGACAAGACCGCCATCACGGCAGACGGGGTGTTGCAGATCCGGAGGACTCACAGCATGGTCAATCGATGGAACAAGGCTATCGCTGTTGGGCTCCGGCACAACCACGACATTTCCTTCATTGCGACGCAGCGCAAGACCATGGCCCTTATGTATTATGTCACGAACTACGCGACGAAGGTGGAGGACCCGGTGTGGAAGCGTGTGGCGGCCGCGGCCGATCTCCTGGCCGCCTCAACGGGTGACGGCACGGCCAACGGAGGACAGGACGACGGTGGAGGTGCTGTTGGCGATGACGCCGCCAAGGGAACAGGACGCGACAGTTCTTGATGAGGTGGCGAATCGTGTGTTCACGGAGCGTCCGCTATCTCAGGTCGAGGTCGTCGCTCATCTTCTTGGATATCCGGCCGAGTTCACCAACAGCAGCGCCTGGGCGTACCTGAACACATCTCTGCTGTACTGGGAAGTCTTTCGACGGTGGCCGTATCTCCGACGAGCAAGTGGCGCGGCGGCCATAGATGATACTCTGGATGAGTCGGTCGTTGTCGAAGAAGCAGGCCTGAGGATCTCCCACGTTGAGGCGTACCAGCACCGGGAGAGCTCCTGCGAGGGCTATGCTTATACGACTACATATCGCTCGTTAGACTAAAACGCACCAGTAAGGATGAGAGCTGTGCGGCCTGGGGGGAGGTGCCCTTCGAGGATGGATGGGCGCCAGGGAGACGCTGGGTCCAGGTGCTCAGGCGGCCGGGCAAGCATGCTACCGTCTGCCTCGATGGCTACCTGAGCAAGGACTTCGGCCACAACGACGACGAGGAGTCGTGCCACCGGAGGTGTGTATGGCAACCGCCCTGCCGGCAGGCATCATCAGAGTGGCTAACCTCCCCCCCTCCCCCTTAAAGGGCAGCCGTGCAGCATCTTGCGCTATTTGTGCCGTGGGAGTCCTTTCTGTGCGAAGAAACAGGTGAGATCAATAGCATCTGGGAGCGGGCGCGAGAGGCGCTGGCCCCGAGAATATCATGTCTCGTCGACAACGTGCAGCTGCTTCGACGATCAGCCGAAGACGCAAAGCGCGACGCCAAGCAATGGGCGGCCTCATCCGGCGATGGCGATTCCACGGTCGCCCACGTCGAGGAGGGCGAGACAGGCGAGGCGGGCGCAGAATTTGCAGCGACGTATCGGTCCAACAACATCGGAGACGCAACGCGCCTGATCGACGTCGTCCGAGGCGCAGTGGGCACGAATCAGGTGACGGCCAAGTCGCCGGAGCTCATGGCAATGATGCGGCAGCTCTGTCGATTCCAGCAATCGGCGCTCTGCTCAACGGCCGAGCTCGAGGCCATCGCGATTCCCGAACAAGGGTTGAGGTGCATAAGCATGCCAGGGCGGGTATTTTCCGGGGCCGCACTACCGCCGCAGGATCAGGTCAAGGCTATCAAGTCGCAGCAGATAAGTGCGTCGAGGAAAGGAGAGAATGATCCAAGGCGTACAAACCACAATCGCAGTCCGGGAAAGCGATCGCCGAGCTGCGTTGCGGAGGGTGATGACCGGCTTCGGGAGGACGACGTCGAAATGACGACAGCCGACTCCGACGAGACGGCTAGCGACGCAGAAGCGGGAATGCGCGTCCAGCTTGGCCCATCGACCTCCTTCTTCGCGGCGGGCAAGGAGTTGTCAACACGGCTAACGCTGAACAAGAGGCAGTCGATCGCTTTCCTAATAATATGCCGCCAGCTCGATTTGATGCGACAAACGAATAGGGCGATGCCGGCCAGCTCTGCCAGTTCGTCGGCGGCGAGGGGGGCACCGGCAAGTCGCGGATCATTGGGGCACTCGTCGAGCTGTTCAGTGGGAAGAGCCTTTCGAATCGTCTGCTGATCACGGCGACGTCAGGGACTGCCGCGGCGCAGATCAACGGCATCACGATCCACCCGCCTGCGGGTTCACTAAAGACCAAGGGGCGGGCGGCGCGAACACAGCCAAGGACCTTGACGGGGTGCGGCTGACAAAACGGGCGGAGCGGTTCATCCACGGCCAGTCTCGGATGGACTGGCAGGAGAAGGACGTGCTTGTCATCGACGAGGTGAGCATGCTCGGAGCGCGGACGCTGCACGCCATAAACGAGCGACTCTGTCGGCTTCGCGGATCGCAGAAAGATTTCGGGGATCCCCATCGTCCTCTTCTGCGGAGACTTTCAGCAGTTCCGGCCGGTCCAAGAGAGGTCGATCGTCCTGCCGAGCGCGGCCATCTCGTGGGACGTAGACAACTCGTTCAAGGCCGAGCAGCGGCACCAGCACGACAAAGCGCACGCGCTGTGGAAGAGATTCACGACGGTCGTCATGTTGAACGAGCAAATGCGCGCCGCCGGTGATCCGGAATTGCAGGGGCTGCTGAAGCGGATCCGGCAGGGTGTGCAGGACCGCACGGATCTGGACCTCCTCAACTCAAGGTGCTACCGCGAGGGCAGGCGGATCCCTTGGGAGACTGGCATCACCGTGGTGACGCCGCTGAACAGGAATCGGTGGAACCTAAACATGGAGGCAAGCTTGGCGTTCCGGGTCCAGCAGCGGTCGACGATGCGCATCTTCATCTCTGAGCACAAGTGGAAGGAGGGCCTGCCGACCGAGGAAGAAGCGATCATGGTACTCAATCAAGGCGACGATAGCGCGATCCCCGTGCCGGCCGTCTTCATGTTCGTGGCCGGGATGCCGGTCGTCGTGAACCACAACACCCATCAGGGGCTGAAGCTGGTGAACGGCGCCGGCTACTCGGCGGTGGAGGTCATTGTCGACAAGGCGTCCCCAGGGCATCGAATCTCGTCCGACATGACGATCCACTTCGGCCGCCGGCGGGGATATTACTGGAATCGGCGACGACAAAGGACCTCCACTTCGTCGGGATGCCGCCGGGCACGATCTTGTTAACGCCGATGAGCGTCAGGATACACTGCCAACGAAAGCGGCCGTGGCAGCAGAACGACGTCAGCCGGAAGGGATTGCCGTGCGCAGCAGCCTTCGCCTGCACGGACTACAAGGTGCAGGGCAGAACGCCAGAGCGCGTGGCCCTGGAGCTGCGGGGACACGGACGACGAAAGTCGATGGAAGGGCCGTGCCCTCGCAATGCGACCCGTACAGCTTATATGTGCAGCTATCGCGCTGTCGAACGCTAGACGGCATCACGCTCGTGTCCAAGGTGCGGGAGAGACTTGGTGGGCAACCGAGTCCCCGAAGAGATGACCGCCGCGCAGGCCAGGCTGGAGGTGCTAAGCGAGAGGACTGTCTAGGAAGCTTTGCGTCGGTCGGATGGCGACGCTGAAGAGTCAGGAGAGTTGTCAGGGTGAGGTGACGAGGGGAGAAGACGGAGGAGCGCCGGCGGGCAAGAAGAAAAGGGCACTGGGCAGCAGCGATCAACGAGGGGCGACTTTTAGACTTGAAGGAAGAAACCGCTAGAAAGGCATGAACGAAAAGGGCAAAGACAAAAGACGCAAGTTTTAGACACAATAAGAAAACCGGCGGACGAAAGGAAAAAGGTTGGCATTGGCATTGGCAAGGGGTAAACAGGAGTATAAACGGGGGGGAAACAGGGCAAGGCATGAGAGGGGCAAGAGAAGGCGGCAGCGACCAATGATGAGGGAGGGACGGAAGGGTCGGCGACCAATCACACGGGATCTTTTATTCCGAAAGAGGAAATAAATCAGCCAATCAGAGGCGGAGGATGTGGGGGTGAAGCAGTCTGGGGCCTTTTTTCCCCGCGCGCTAATGAAGTCCTTTCGTTCCTCAAGGCAAGTTAGCAAAAAGGACGGCTAGACAACACGCCGTTCTTGTTCGACAGGTAAGGCAACCCCTCATGGGTTGCGCAAAAAGCCTTGAGGAACGAAGACTGAGGATTGAGACAAACAAGACGAAGACAGAGGGCGAGAGCAAAGAACGCAAGCAGGCGGTAGCGCCAGGAACTAATGCATGCAAGAAGGTAGGCAAATAAATCGGCCATTCGGGCACCATCCCGCAGCGGGAAGAGGGAGAAAAAGCAAGAAGGCAAATACAGCGATGATAACGGTTGCGGGGTAAGAGAGAGAAGGGAGTATAAGAGAGGCACCAAGGCACGAATAGGAGAGCAGAAGCGTCTACCTAGCTACCGATCGAGCAGTTAGGAAAACAACTACAGCATGGCCACTTGCAACGTTTCCGTGGAGTTCTGGTGCGAATTCGGGGCCACGGAGCTGAAGTACAAGCATAGCATCCCGAAGACGCTCGTGACGCAGGTAGGCCAGGCGAGGCCGAACCACGCAGCCAGTGCACTGTTCCTACAGTGGATAAGGCCGATCCTACGGGAGCACGAGGCAGCGTGTCGGAAGGCAGCAGGGGTGCGCTGCGAGAGCTGCGGCGGACTCGCAAAGGAGATTCTACAGAGCCCGATATCGTACCTACACGCAGAGGCCGTTTGTGCTCGTGGTCGTGTCGTCGTTCTGCGGCAAAGAAGGATGCGAAATTAGGACGAGGCAGGAAATGCAGGACACGATGGCAGAGGCGGGGCAGGCGGGCGGAAACAAGGGCGCGACGCAAATGCAAGGGCAGGATGCGCAGAGCACAGAGGAAGGTCTGCCGGGTTTGTGGAGAGATGGCGGGGCGAGGAGGTGCAGCCGATGCCTGACGGTGGCGTACTGCAGCAGGCAACACCAAAAGGAGGACTGGAAGGTGCACAAGAAGGGATGCAAGCCAAAGGCAAGCTAGGAGCTAGGGAGAGGAGGGAAGGAAAGTAAAGGGACAAGGCATAACGCGCAGGACATAAACAAGGTCACGGAGAACAAATAGAGGCAGGCACTATCGTAAGAAATAGGTCGCAAGCTAAAGTTGTTGTTTCAAAAAGAGATAAACGTTGTAATGTGTAGAGTAATGGTAATTTTGCAGCGATAAGTTTCGTTAGGAATAGCATCTCGAGAGGGAGAACGGTTTATTTTAGTAAAGGCAAGAGGCGTAAGAGAGCGATAGGTTTATAGTAGGCAGCTCATTTCTGCATGCGATAGCGGATAGGTCGAGCGGGCGGGTCGGAGGTGCTCGCGACAATAGAGTCAAGAGGGAGACCCGGCTTGGCTGCAGGAGCGGAACGGCGGGACGCCGCTCGGTCGAGACGAAGAAGCGGCCGGCGGGGAGAGGAGGAGGGGCGGCGGAGCTGACGGTGTCCGAAGACGAGGAAGGCGGCGAATTCTGCTGCTGCAGCAAGCGCCCCTCTTCATGGGCGTATCGGCAAGGGCCGGGTGGGAGCGCTTAGGCGGTGGTGTGACGGGGTCGAGGGCGGTCGGGGCCGAGGCCAAGGAAGGGGAGCCGACGCAGCCGAGGCCGGCGCAGCAACGGAGTACAAGGCGGCGCGGACGGAATCAAAGGTAGAGGAGGCGGATAGGGTCTGACGTTTAAGGGGCGTAGCGGGGAAGCCGAGGCGGAGGCGGCCGCCGAGGGCCTGTCGACAAAGTTCCAGCTGTCCGGGACGACGATAAAGACGTAATCGCGCTCTGAGCCCGGGGCAGAGCATAAGACGGTGGTCGAGAAGGCCGACGACCTTTCCAGTGCAGGTAAAGGGACGCCGGGCAGGAAGGAAGAGTTAGGCCTTTCAGCAATTTTCTTGCATAGCACGGCCCAAGGGTTAGCATAGATGGGAAAGATAACAAAGACCTGGAAGGGGTGGTAGCCCTTAAAGGGAATCCGGTCCGGCAGGCCAGGGGCGATGTAGGTAGTGAGCCGGACGAAGCCGCAGGAGCGGAGCTGGTCGGGCCCGAGACCTGGCAGGAAGTCTCCACGCAGGAGGTCAAGGCCAGGCCCGGCGATGACGCCATGGAAGGAGACAACAGGATGCGTAGACGGGAACTGGCCGCCAGAGGCCAAGGAGCGTGGGAGGACGCTAGGGAGAGAAGTCAGCGAGGCGGCCGGTGAAGGGGCAAAAAAAAAAAAAGAAGGGGGGGCGCACGGCTGGTAGCCTTGGTCGCGGACGATAAGGGCGGGCACCGTGTAGAGGACGGTATCGTCTGGGCCGGCCTCAAGACCGTCGCGGCGCTCCACCTCCCAGGCGAGGGCGTAGGGGTGAACGCGGCCGCTCATAAAGAACCATTGCTCGGACCAGTCCGTGTCGACGATTGGCTGGCCGTAGATAGAGAGGTTTAGGCTAAAGAAGAGAGAGGGGCCCAGGTCGTCGCCCTCGGCCCGGAGGGGTGCGTAGTCGGCCTCGAGCAGCCACGAGGGCACCGGCAGGAGGACGCGGGCGATAGCCTCAGCGTTGAGGCCCCTAATGCGGTGCTCGTCGTGGTGGGCGAACCTCGCGGGGCAGTCGGGCTGGGCGAAGAACATCATGGACATATCGCTGCCCGCGCCCTTGCTAGAGCCAAGGGGCTTGCGGAGGTGCGGGCAGAGCTGTCCGCCGACGGAGACGAAGACATGGCTCGGCCGTGTAGTAAAGAGCAACGTTGCTGGGGCAAAGCTAAAAGCGGCGAGAAAGATAGGCAGGAGTGCTCCTACCTATATACCGTCTTACGAGTTTAGTGTAAAGAGAAGGGCCAGTGGCGATGGTGTGTAAGAGAAGTCAAAGGATTCTAAACAAAGACGCAACATGGCGTTAGTGGTAGGTTATATAAGGAGCCTTTGTAAAAGAGGGTTATAAGATGCGTATAGAGGAGAGTGCAAGAGAAGGGAGAACTTTAAAAGGCGGTCTAGTAAGATGTTGAGAGTTTTAAGACAAGCAGGACGCGCGAAGCTATATTCGAGGAGAAGCAGGCAGCCCTATTCGCAACACGTGTAAGACATGGTTTTAAACTTCAGCGGGCAAGTGTCTAGGGGCATACGGAAGCTTTGACTGATAAGAGCTGGATGACAAGAAGGAAAAGCGTAGCATGCAAAGCATAGGCAAGAAGAAGCCGTCGCGGCGACGTACATATAAGGATCGGCCGAGGCCGTCTAGCCTATCGCATATAGCAGCAGGCAATGGCGGGCGGGCTTAATAGAAAGGCGGCGCCGGTATAATGCAAAGAGCAGCAGCACGCATATAGATATAGTAGAGAGCTACGAGTAAGATATATAGACTTTTGTAGAGGATCCTATATGCGCAAGAGGGGTGCCAGTCAGCAAGATAAGTGCAGGGCGAATAATCGAGGCAAGGATTTATACGCTGTTATTACACTTACGAGGATTTACGCCAGGGGCCTAGTGGCACCATAAGTAGGCAGGGCCAAAGAGGGCAGGTGCAAAGAGGAAGACAAGACGTCCGTGGGGCTTTGGTAGACCGGTGTCGCAATGAAGCCAGCCAACGGAAGGGACCAGTCCGAGCGGGGACGGGGCAAGCCCGGCGCCAGAAGCCTGCGCAGCGCCGTACACAGGACCAGAGTTCCAGCCGACCACAGCAGCGCCGGCACTTGCTAGCGGCGCCCTCGGAGAGAGCAAGAAGAGGCGTCAAGGAGGCGCCTCCGAGGCGAGGGCGGGAAGACCGCCAGGACTAGGGAGATGGAGGATCAGCGCAGGCCGAGTCATGCCGCGGGATATCCAGCCTCGGCCGACACCAAGCGCGGCGGCAACTTGGCTGCCGCCGACACCGAGGGCGGCAGGGCACTGGCTGCCGCAAGGCGTGCCCAGCGCCGTCTCGGCCTCAGGAAAAGCCAGCGCGCACCAAGAGAAATCCGGCCTCTGCCGACAGTAGAGGCCGCCGGTCCTTCGCCGCCGCCGACGAGAAGTTCGGACGTTCCGCGGGACATTCGGCCACAGCCGACATGGAGGGCCGCCGGCCCTTCGCCGCCGACGAGAAGTTCGGACGCGCCGCGGATATCCAGGCTCTGTCGACACCGACGGCGGCAGGGCGCCGGCTGCCGCAAGGCGGGCCTAGCGCCGTCTCGGCCTCAGGAAAAGCCAGCGCGCACCGAGGGAAATCCGGCCTCTGCCGACGGTGGAGGCCGCCGGGCCTCGCCGCCGCCGACGAGAAGTTCGGACGTTCCGCGGGATATTCGGCCACAACCGACTTGGAGGGCCGCCGGCCCTTCGCCGCCGTCAAGCGGGACTAGCTCGGCCGTAGTCTCGATCGGAAGCCAGCACTCGCCGCGAGCCATCCAGTCCCGGCCGGCCAGCAGGGCCGAGATCCCCGCCACAACCCGGCCGCAGCCGGGCTGCTTGTTGGCGGCAGAGATAGCGCCTCGGCAGGTACGGTCGTAGAGCGAGGTAAAGGCGTGTAGCGGTGATAGCTAACCGGACGCAGGTAGATCGGCGATAAGACGGCAGGCGAGGAAGAGCAGAAGAGGAAACGCCATCTTAGTAGTGGGCAGGCCGAGCGGAAACGCGCCCGGGTCGGTGAAAGGGTGCCGAGACCAAGGGAGCTGCAGGCCGAGGACCTAGCCAGCGCGCTGCGGCACCTCGACGAGGAGTTCGAGGCGGGCGAGAGGCTGGCTAACGAGCAGACGTGGTGTGCGCCGGTGCCGCGCGAGAGGCAGGTGAGGACGGTGCGGAAGTTCTACCGGGCGTTCCACGACGCTGGCACGCTGCCGATCGCGACCTGCACGCTATGCTACCGGAAGCGGGCCAAGGGGAGCTGAGGAGATGGCGTGGGGGGTGGGAGGGGTGGTCGCGGAGCGGTGTTGCGGGGGCGGCGGTCCCCGTTCGGGTGCCAAGCCTGCTTCCCGGAGGGCAGGCCGGTGGCGGTCTGCGCAGAGTGCGCGCGATGGGCCGGGCGTGAGGGGGCGTCGCCGGCCATGCACCTCCATGGGCGGCTCGGCTGCGAGCACGCGTACCCCGACGAGCTAAAGGACCTCACGCCGCTCGAGGAGAAGCTCATCTCGCTCAACTCGTGCTACGGCTTCGTGACGAAGTATAGCATCCCCGGCGGCCAGAGGCAGAGCGTGAGGTACCCGAGGCACGTCAAGGGCCATATCACGGTGTTCCCGAACGACGTGCAGGGCCTGGCTGCCAGGTGCTCCCGCACCCGCTGGTCCGGGTCATGGACGAGATCCACGTCTCGTGGCAGGGCGCTGAGAGGCCCGGGCCGCGGGACCTATCAGGCCTGCTGTCGGTAAGGCGGTCGGCGGTCGAGAGGGCGCTGGCCTGGCTCAAGGAGAACAACCCGCTCTACGGCGAGGTCGAGATCGACGCGGCGGAGATAGCCAGCTGGGGGGCGCCGCCGCACGGGGTGCCGCCGGTGGTGTGCGAGCGGCTGGAGCGAAACGAGCCGTCGGCGCGGGAGAGGACGCAGACGGCGCAGGTGGTGCCGCCGTCGGAGCGGGCCATGGACGACGGAGGCGCGGCCGAGATCGAGGAGGTCCTCGCGATGCTAAGGCAGGGCCAGGACCCCGCCGAGGGGAGCCGCGACGTCGGGCTCACGTGCGAGGACGACGACAGGGACGGCGCTAGGCCCGAAGAGGACGGGGACGTAATCAATGAGGTAACGTCTTCCGGCATGTTCCCGTTAGATGGGGCGCCAGATGTGGCCGACGCCGAGAAGATTCGCTTCGCCCGCGACGCGGTCGGGCCCGAGGAGCGCGCGCCAGCCGAGGACGTGGGTAGGGACGGCGGCCAGAGGGCGGCGGGCGACGGCGGCGACGGCGAGCCGTACATACAGGTGCGACGCGGCGAGGATTTCGCCGACTCGGCGGACGCCTCCTTCTTTGCAAAGGCCTTTCCGACCCTGTTCCCTTTGGCTTAGGCGGGCCGAGGCTCGCCGACGAGGACGCCGCGGGAGAGCGCGGGCCTAGCGTCGGGAACCAGGGCGCCCAGGCGGAGCGGGTTGCAGAGGGCCTTATGTCGACGCGGAACATGAAGCTCCAGGCATGGGCCGACGTCGTGCTGCGGCGTCACGGCGGCCGGTTCGCGACGCACCCTATCTTCGCCTTCCTTGTCTTTAACATGGGCGTGCGGTCTAAGAACCGCCAGGCCAGCATGCTAGGCGTAGCGAGGAAGAACTTCGCAAGGGTCGAGGGCCTACTAAAGTCGTTAACGGCGCAGAGGCTCGAGGCGGCCAGGCCGAGCTCGAGGCCACAGGTAAGACTAGCGACGACGGGGTAAAGAGCTCCTCCGGTCCCTCTCCGTGTTCGGCTACCGGCAGCCAATGTCGAGGAGAGCCGCCTTAGTATGCGGAAGAAGATACTATCCTCATCGTTAGGTACGGGGTGCCGGCTATCTGGTTCACGCTGAACCCGAACGACATTACGAACCTAGTAAAGTTACGGCTAGCGGCGCACCGCGGCCGCGACCCGACGAGGCCGAGGCCTTCCTAAGTGACCTAGGGACCGCGTATAAGCGGACGCGGCTGGCCATATCGGACCCGATGAGCTCGGCCGTCTTCTTCCACCGGGAGATGACGCTCTTCTTCGAGCACTACGTCAACGTCGGGAGGAGTCGGTGTTCGGCCACGTCGGCGCATACTACGGGCGGTAGAGACCAACGAGCGAGGCGCCCTCCACATCCACGGGCTCCTCTGGCTAAGGGGCAACGCGGGCATTGGCGACGCGCTCGCCGGCCCGGACGCGGAGGAGCAGGCGGCGTACCGGGAGCGCATCGTCCGCTACGTAGATAGCGTCTTCTCTGAGGTAAGGCGGCCGCCTTAACACAAACCCCGATGCCCCTATCTGGGTCAGGCTGAGGGGCCTAAGCTGAACCGAGGCCGCAGGAGCTAGACGCAGAAGGTTACTGTGCCATGCAGGCAGAGCGGTCGGCCACGGCGGACATATCGTCGCGGCTCGACGACGTCGCGCGCTTCACGGACACCTTCGACGAGGAGGCCAACTTCTGCGCGGGCGCGACGCAGATCCATACGCATAGCGCGACCTGCGTAAAATACTCGCTCGGCGTGGGGCGCGGAAGGGGACCTCTGCCGGTTTAAGGCGCCGTGGAGGTTGGTGGAGAGGACGGCGCTGACGGCGGACGGGGTGCTCGAGATCCGGCGGACGCATAGCATGGTGAACCGGTGGAACAGGGCGATGGCAGTGGGGCTACGACACAACCACGACATCTCGTTCATCGCGACGCAGCGCAAGACCATGGCCCTAATCTACTATATTACTAACTATGCGACGAAGGTAGAGGACCCGGTGTGGAAGCGTGTGGCCGCCGCGGCCGAGTTCCTTCCTGTGCTAGAGCCGACGGGAGAGGGCAACAGAAGTGGCGCCGACCGCGACGCCGGCCGGGAGGGCGGGGCCGAAGGGGTAGCGACGGCGGCGGACCCGTAGGGGAATAAGACGAGAACGTTCCTGCTTAAGGCGGCGAATCGAGTCTTTACGGAGCGGCCGCTGTCGCAGGTCGAGGTGATCGCGCACCTCCTAGGGTACCCGGCGGAGTTTAGCAGCGGCTCAGCGTGGGCGTATATAAACGCAAACCAGCTCTACTGGGCCGTCTTCCGCCGGTGGCGGCACCTCCGACGGGCGAGCGGCGCCGAGGCGACGGGCGACGCGCCGGACGAGACGGTCGTCGTCGAGGAGGCTGGCCTGAGGATCCCTCTCGTCGAGGCCTACCGGCACCGGGCGAGCTCCTGCGGGGCCTCTGCCTTTATGACTACGCATCGCTTGTAAGGTTAAAGCAAAACGGCAGCGGCGCCGACGGTATGGCGGGCTGGGGTGAGGTACCCTTCGCGGAGAGCTGGGCGTCGGGGAAGGGCTGGGTGCAGGCGCTTAGGCGGCCGGGTTGCGGGGCGACTGTATGCGTCGACGGATACCTCAGCAAGGAGTTCAGCGAGGAAGACGACGAGTCGTGCCACCGGAGGTGCGTACTATAAGACGGGGGGCGCCTAAGAGGAAGGCAGAGCAGCTAGGGGCATCGGCTAACAGCATCTAGGGCGGCGGTGCAGCACCTGGCCCTATTCGTGCCGTGGGAGTCCTTCCTCGGCGAGGAGGCAGGCGACATTAACAACATCTGGGCACGGGCGCGGGAGTCGCTGGCGCCGAGGGTCGCGCGGCTCGCAGACAACGTGCAGCTCCTCCGGCGGTCGGCGGAGGACGCGAAGCGCGACGCCAAGCAGTGGGCCGCCACGGCCGAGGAGGGCGGTATGACGGCGCCGCAGGCCGACGACGAAGGCAGGGGGGCGGCCGAAGGGGGCGAGGAGGCATACCGCGCCGGCGGGGCGGGCGACGCGGCCCGGCTCATCGACGTCGTCCGGAACGCCGCCGGCGCGGGACAAGTCACGGCGCAGTCAACAGAGCTGCTAGCGATGACGCAGCAGCTCTGCCGGTTCCAGCAGTCGGCGCTCGGGTCGGCGGCCGAGCTCGCGGCGACGGTGGTGGCGGACGAGAGGGCAGGCAGGCGGGTGAACCTACCGGGCTCGGCGCTGTCGGGGGCGGCACTGCCGCGGCAAGAAGAGGTGCGGGCCATCAAGTCGCAGCAGAGGAGCGCGGCGCGGGAGCGGGAGCGGGCGATCCAGGGCATCCAGGGCGGCGGGGCGGCGGCGGGCGTCGGGGCCGACCGCGGCGCGGCCTTCGCGGGGTGATGGGGGCTTCGGCGAGGACGACATCGACGTAACGGCGGCCGACGGCGACGCAGACGCAGGCACGGCGGCGGGGATGCGCGTGCGGCTCGGCCCGTCGAGCTCGTTCGTCGCCGCCGGCAGGAGCTGGCGGGCCAGCTCACGCTCAACGAAGCAGGCCATCGCCCTCCTAATCGTGTGCCGGCAACTCGACCGAATCCGGCAGGGCGACGACGCAGGCGGCGACGGTGGTGGCCAGCTCTGCCTATTCATCGGCGGCGAGGGCGGCACCGGCAAGTCGCGCGTCATCGAGGCGCTCGTCGAGCTGCTCGCCCGGAGGGACCTATCGAGCCGGGTACTGGTTACGGCGACGTCGGGGACGGCGGCAGCGCGGATCAACGGCATCACGCTGCACTCGGCCTGCGGCCTTACGGTCGGCCAGGGCGGCCGGGCGGGAGGGCGACGAGGACATTGACGGCGTACGGCTGGCGGGCCAGGGCGAGCGCTTCGTCGACGGCCGGTCGCGGATGGACTGGCAGGAGAAGGAGGTGCTGGTGATCGACGAGGTCAGCATGCTCGGGGCGCGGACGCTGCACGCCGCCAACGAGCAGCTCTGCCGGCTGCGGGGGTCGGCGCGGGACTTCGGCGGCATCCCGGTAGTGATCCTCTGCGGCGACTTCCACCAGTTCCGGCCGGTGCAGGAACGGTCGATCCTGCTGCCGAGCGCGGCGGTGGCGTGGGACGAGGACGGGGCGTTCGCGGCCGAGCAGCGGCGGCAGCACGACAAGGCGCACGCGCTGTGGCGGCGCTTCACGACGGTCGTCATGCTAGACGAGCAGATGCGGGCCGCCGGCGACCCGGAGCTGCGGCGGCTGCTCGGGCGGATCCGCCGGGGCGAGCAGGACCGGTCGGACCTAGAGCTGCTCAACTCGAGATGCTACCGGCCGGGCAGGCGGATCCCGTGGGAGACGGGCCTGACGGTGGTGACGCCGCTCAACCGGCAACCGCTGGAACCTCAACCTAGAGGCGGCGCTCGCGTTCCGGGAGAGGCGGCGGACGGCGGCGCGCGTCTTCCTCTCCGAGCATAAGTGGAGGGACGGCGTGCCGACGGAAGAGGAGGCGGTGCTAATGCTAGGCCAGGGCGACGACAGCGCGACCCCGGTGCCGGCCGTCTTCCTCTTCGTGCCGGGCATGCCGGTCGTCGTGAACCAGAACACGCACCAGGGGCTAAAGCTTGTGAACGGGGCCGGGTACACGGCGGTGGACGTCATCCCCGACCGCGCCTTCCCCGGCCACCGCGTCTCGGCGGAGCTCATCATGCATTTCGGGCCGCCGGCGGGCATCGTGCTGGCCTCGGAGACGACCAAGGACTTCCACTTCGTCGGGATGCCTGCCGGGACGATCCTGCTAACGCCCATCAGCGTCAAGATCACAGCGCAGCGGAAGCGGCCATGGCAGCGCAACGACGTCAGCCGGAGGGGCCTGCCGTGCGCCGCGGCCTTCGCCTGCACCGACTATAAGGTGCAGGGCGGGACGCTAGAGCGCGTGGCGCTGGAGCTGCGGGGGGCGAGGATGACGACGGTCGAGGGGAGGGCGGTGCCGTCGTCGTGCGACCCGTATAGCCTATACGTGCAGCTGTCGCGGTGCCCGACGCTCGACGGCATCATGCTCGTATCAGAGGTGCGGAGCGGACCTAGTGGGGAACCGGGTGCCTGAGGAGATGACGGCAGCGCAGGCCCGGCTAGAGGAGCTTAGCAGGCAGACAACACAGGAGGCGGCCGACTGGCTCCGCAGGTAACGCAGGCGCCCTGCATTTTCCACACTTCCGACGTAAAGGAGTGTAGGTTAAGGGCCAGGAGGACGGGCGAAGGGGTGGTCTGTGGAGGCGTGTGGTCTATGGCGGGGTTAGAAGCCGGGCCGGGGCACCTTCCTCTATGTGGTCTGCGGCGGCGTATGGTCTACGGAGGCGTTGGAAGCGAACTGCGCAGCTGGAACTAAAAGGGGCAGCAAGGGGGCAGGGCATTATTTATTTTTATTTATTAACGAATGAAAAGCGAGAACATCGACGAATGAAAAGCGAGAAAAGAACAACCGACGAATCAAAAGCGAGAACGCCAGCGAATCAGAGGGCGGCATTTGCGGGGGGGAAATCGATGGCGAATTTTTTTTCTCCCCGGGGAGGAACCCTAAGAACCTTTCGTCACTCGTTCCTCGTTCCTCAAGGCATGTGCTTATCAACAACAGGTAAGGCAACCCCTCATGGGTTGCGCAAAAAGCCTTGAGGAACGAAGACTGAGGATTGAGACAAACAAGACGAAGACAGAGGGCGAGAGCAAAGAACGCAAGCAGGCGGTAGCGCCAGGAACTAATGCATGCAAGAAGGTAGGCAAATAAATCGGCCATTCGGGCACCATCCCGCAGCGGGAAGAGGGAGAAAAAGCAAGAAGGCAAATACAGCGATGATAACGGTTGCGGGGTAAGAGAGAGGGAGTATAAGAGAGGCACCAAGGCACGAATAGGAGAGCAGAAGCGTCTACCCTAGCTACCGATCGAGCAGTTAGGAAAACAACTACAGCATGGCCACTTGCAACGTTTTCGTGGAGTTCTGGTGCGAATTCGGGGCCACGGAGCTCAAGTACAAGCATAGCATCCCGAAGACGCTCGTGACGCAGGTAGGCCAGGCGAGGCCGAACGACGAAGCCAGCGCACTGTTCCTACAGTGGATAAGGCCGATCCTACGGGAGCACGAGGCGGCGTGTCGGAAGGCAGCAGGGGCGCGCTGCGAGAGTTGCGGCGAAGTCGCAAAGGAGATTCTACAGAGCCCGATATCGTACCTACATGCAGAGAGGCCGTTTGTGCTCGTGGTCGTGTCGTCATTCTGCGGTCAAGAAGGATGCGAAATAAGGGCGAGGCAGGAAATGCAGGACACGATGGCAGAGGCGGGGCAGGCGGACGGAAGCATGGGCGCAAAGCAAATGCAAGGGCAGGATGCACAGAGCACAGAGGGGAAGGTCTGCCGGGTTTGTGGAGAGATGGCGGGGGCGAGGAGGTGCAGCCGATGCCTGGCGGTCGCGTATTGCAGCAGGCAACACCAAAAGGAGGACTGGAAGGTACACAAGAAGGGATGCAAGCCAAAGGCAAGCTAGGGAGCTAGTGAGTGGAAGCAAGCAACGCCGTCGAGGCGGCCTTAAGGCCAGCCTCACACGCCGCAACGGCCTTTGTAGAACCAACCGCCGATTTCGGCGACCCTCGTCCCTATGACTTGCACAACTAAGGAACGGAATGTAAGATAACAAAGACGCCCTTTGCGAGGCGCAACTACAGGGCCCCCGTCGCCGCTAAACGCAACTGAGAGGTGCGGCGGCAAGCTGGCAAGGAGAGAGAAGGGAATGGGAAGGAAGGGAAAGAGAAGGGGCGAGGCGCAACGCATGGGACATTAACGAGGTCACGGAGAACGTCTAGAGGCAGGCAGTGTTGTAAGAAACGGGTTCGCAAGCCAAAACTGTCCTTTAATAAAGGGAGAAACGTGGCAATGCGTAGAGTAATAGTAATTTTGCAGCGACAAGCTGTGTTAGGAATAGTATCCCGTTCCATTTTAGTAAAGGCAGGAGGCGTAAGAGAGCGATTGGTTTATAGTAGGCAGCTTATTTCTGCATGCGATAGCGGAGAGGGCGAGCGGGCGGGTCGGAGGTGCTCGCGACGATAGAGTCGAGAAGGGAAGGCGGGGGGGCCGGAGCGGGCGGGATGCCGTCCAGTCGAGACGAAGAAGCGGCTGGCGGGGGACAGGAGGAGGGGGCGGCGGGACCGACGGTGTCCGAAGACGAAGAAGGCGGCGAATGCTGCAGCTGTAGTAAGCGCGCCCTCTTCATGGGCGTATCGGCAAGGGCCGGGTGGGAGCGCTTAGGCGGCGGCGTGACGGGGTCGGGGGCGGTCGGGGCCGAGGCCGAGGAAGGGGGCCCCGACGTGGCCGAGGCCGGCGCGGCAACGGAGTACAAGGCGGCGCGGACGGAATCGAAGGTAGAGGAGGCGGATGGGGTCTGGCGCCTAAGGGGCGTAGCGAGGGGGGAAGCCGAGGCGGCGGCGGCGGCCGAGGGCCTATCGACAAAGGTCCAGCTGTCCGGGACGATGATAAAGACGTAATCGCGCTCCGAGCCCGGGGGGGAGAGCATAACGCGGTGGTCGAGAAGGCCGACGACCTTTCCGGTGCAGGTAAAGGGGACGCCGGGCAGGAAGGAAGAGTTAGACTTTTCGGCGATTTTCTTGCATAGCACGGCCCAAGGGTTAACATAGACGGGAAAGATAACAAAGACCTCGAAGGGGTGGTAGCCCTTAAATGGAATCCTGTCCGGCAGGCCAGGGGCGATGTAGGTCGTGAGCCGGACGAAGCCGCAGCAGCGGAGCTGGTCGGGCCCGAGACCGGGCAGGAAGTCTCGACGCAGGAGGTCGAGGCCGGGCCCGGCTACGACGCCATGGAAGGAGACAACGGGAGGCGTAGACGGGAACTGGCCGCTAGAGGCCAAGGAGCGCGGCAGGACGCTAGGGGGCAAAGTCAGCGGGGCGGTGGGTGAGGAGGCGCATTACAATGAAAAGGGGAGGGGGGCGCACGGCTGGTAACCTTGGTCGCGGACGATAAGGGCGGGCACGGTGTAGAGAATAGCATCGTCCGGGCCGGCCTCGAGGCCGTCGCGGCGCTCCACCTCCCAGGAGAGGGCGTAGGGGTGAACGCGGCCGCTCATAAAGAACCACTGCTCGGACCAGTCGGTATCGACGACCGGCTGGCCGTAGATGGAGAGGTTTAGACTAAAGAAGAGGGAGGGCCCTAGATCGTCGCCCTCGGCCCGGAGGGGTGCATACTCCGACTCTAGCAGCCACGAGGGCACCGGCAGGAGGACTCGGGCGATGGCCTCTGTCACGACCCTGGGCGCCAGCGTAGAGCCGCCAGCGCAGCACCTCACCAGTGTCACGTGCCCAAGCAGCATCACGTGCCCACGCGCGACCTCGTGTCTATATAAGGGCCCGCTCGGTCGTGTAGTCTAGTCTTCCTTTCTTGCTCCTTAGCTTTGAGTCTTTGTTCATAGTGCCAATACATCTTTATAGCCGTCAAGGCTCGTATGTGCCTGGCCGTAACACTACTCAAAGCTCAATCTTCGCGTGCCCCGCGAAACAAATATAGGCAACCTTCGCGTGCCCCGCGATAAACAAATAGGCACCCACAACCTGGTCCTTCGCGCTGGACTGAAAACTCGTGCACTCCGACCGACCGTTGACCCGTTGCACTAAGGACTGTGCCCGACTCAACACCGACCGACCCTCCTGTGTGTGATCAGGAGCCCGACCGATTCGCTTCGTTAAGGACTGCGTTGCGAATCACTTCCGACCCCTCTGTATGTGATCAGAGGGTTGACTGTCCGTGAGGACACTCGACCAAGCCCTCCGAAGGTACTGGAGGCACCTGTCGACTCGTCTGCGTGTGCAGCTCGGCTCGGCCTTGACCCGCGCACGCACTAAGGACTGTGCAGCGCATCGACCCGTTCCCTCTTCCTAAAGACTGGAAAGGAACAACCTCCGCCTGTCGACTTGACCTCCTGTGTGTGATCAGGAGGTTTGGCCCACCGATTCGCTTCGTGTTGGATTCGACCCCGACTCGCCCTTGACTAGGTGATGCCGAAGAAACTCGACTACGGACCCCGACAAGGAAGTCAGTCCGTACGGCATCGCAAGTGCCTGATCAAGGCCCTCGACCCAAGACCAAGACCAAGACTCGACCCCGATTCTCCAGCTGCAAGAGGAGACGTCGGCCTCAATCGAAGACCCGCCAACGATGGCCCAAGTGACGGCTCAGCTGGCCGCCCGTCAACCTGCAATACTGGATCGAATGTGCTGCAGCGGAGGAGGGCTGCGAGGAACGAGACGATGACGACACAGCAGAGAAAGCCGTGAAACCAAGAAGCCGCCGCCACGACTGACTACCTTGATACGCATATCAAGGCCTTAGACGGGGGGCAGTGTCACGACCCTGGGCGCCAGCGTAGAGCCGCCAGCGCAGCACCTCACCAGTGTCACGTGCCCAAGCAGCATCACGTGCCCACGCGCGACCTCGTGTCTATATAAGGGCCCGCTCGGTCGTGTAGTCTAGTCTTCCTTTCTTGCTCCTTAGCTTTGAGTCTTTGTTCATAGTGCCAATACATCTTTATAGCCGTCAAGGCTCGTATGTGCCTGGCCGTAACAGCCTCGGCGTTAAGGCCCCTGATGCGGTGCTCGTCTTGGTGGGCAAACCTCGCGGGGCAGTCGGGCTGGGCGAAGAACATCATGGACATGTCGCCGCCCGCGCCCTTGCTAGTGGCAAGGGGCTTGCGGAGGTGCGGGGCAGAGCTGTCCGCCGACGGAGACGAAGACATGGCGAGGCCGTGTAGTGGACGAGCAACGTTGCCGGAGCGAAGCTAGAAGCGGCGAGGTATAGGGGCAGGAGTGTTCCCTACCAATATGCCGTCTTAAGAGTTTAGTGTAGTAGGGAAGGGCTGGTGGCCGTGGTGTATAAGAGAAGTCAAAGGATCCTAAACGAAGACGCAACGTAGCGTTAGCGGTAGGCTAAGATAAGGAGCCTATATAAAGGAGGTCTATAAGATGCGTATAGAGAAAAATGCGACAAGAGGAGAAGAGGAAACCTCGAAAGGCGGTCTAGTAAGACGTAGAGGGTTTTAAGACAAGCAGGACGCGCGAGGCTATGTTCGAGGAGAAGGAGGCAGACTTATTCGCAACACGTAAGACATGGGTTCAAAATTCAGCAGGCGAGCGTCTAGGGGCGTACTGAGGCTTTGACCGACAAGACCTAGATGACAAGAAGGGAAAGTGTACCATGCAAAGCACAGGCAAGAAGAGGCCGTCTCGGCGACCTACACGTAAGGACCGGCCGAGGCCGTATAGCCCGCCGCCTTTAGCGGCGGGCAATGGCGGGGGGGCTCGATAGCAAGGCGGCGCCGGTATAATGTAAAGAGCAGCGGCGGGAGGGCCCAGTCCGGAGCGGGTGACAGGGTAAGCCCGGCGCCAGAAGCCCGAGCAGCGCCGTACACAGGACCAGAGATCCGGCCGATCACAGCAGCGCCGGCACTCGGTCGCGGCGCCTCTCGGAGAGAGCAAGAAGAGGCGTCAAGGGAGGCGCCTCCGAGGCGAGGGCGGGGAAGACCGCCAGGACTAGGGAAATGGAGGATCAGCGCAGGCCGAGTCGCGCCACGGGATATCCAGCCTCAGCCGACACCGAGTGCGGCGGGGCAGTGGCTGCCGCTGGGCCGGCCCAGCGCCGTCTCGGCCTCAGGGAAAAGCCAGCGCGCACCGAGAGAAATCCGGCCTCTGCCGTCGGCAGAGGCCGCCGGGCCTTCGCCGCCGCTGACGAGAAGTTCGGACGCTCCACGGGACATTCGGCCCCAGCCGACATGGAGGGCCGCCGGTCCTTCACTGCCGTCAAACGGGATAGGTTTAGCTGCAGCCTCGGCCGGAAGCCAGGGGGCTCCGCAGGATACCCGGCCCCAGCCGACATGGAGGGCCGCCGGGCCTTGGCCGCCGGCGACGAGAAGTTCGGTCGCCCCGCGGGACATTCGGCCTCAGCCGACATGGAGGGCCGCCGCTCCTTCACCGCCGTCGAGCGGGATAGGTTTGGCTTCAGCCTTGGCCGGAAGGCGGGGGGCTCCGCAGGATGTCCGGCCCCAGAGGAGAGCCGCCGGCCCGTCGCCCCGAGCCATCCAGTCCTGGCCGGCCAGTAGGGCCGAGGCTCTTGCCACAACTCCCGCCGCAGCCGGGCCGCTTGTTTCAGCATTGGCCGGAAGCCGGGGGGCTCCCCAGGATATCCGGCCCCAGCCGCCAAGGAGGGCCGCCGGTCCTTGGCCGCCGGCGACGAGAAGTTCGGACGTTCCGCGGGACATTCGGCCACAGCCGACATGCAGGGCCGCCGCTCCTTCACCGCCGTCGAGCGGGATAGGCTTGGCTTCAGCCTTGGCCGGAAGCCAGCACCCGCCGCGAGCCATCCAGTCCCGGCCGGCCAGCTGTCACGGCGAGCGAAAGGGGACTGCAGACAAAGCTAGCAAGATACTCTGTAACGAAAGAATACTAAGATGAAGAGGAAAGAAAACCACATAACTCCTAACGCCGTGACCTCCTCATATCCTCCCTGTCGCTTCGGACCTGGATGACGGGGCTGCCCGTACCTACCGTCGGAGCTGCCCGTGCCCGGAGCTGCCCGTGCCCGGAGCTGCCCGTCCGCGGGTGCCGTGCCCGTCCGCGGTTTCCGTAGTAGTCCCCAGGTGTGTCACGGTAACCCAGGGGTCCCAGGTAGGGCCCTGACACTACCCTCCTTCCGGAGAGCTCGCCCCGAGCTCTGACCAATGCCGTAATGCCAATACCCAGAGACATACCTACTTCGTTACCCGCCGCCGCCTCATTTTTGTGTTGTCTTGCCGTTGAGTCGGGGTCGTCATCTGGTGTGTCTAGGGCGACTTGGTCCGTCGCCGCTGCTTGATCCATGCAGCTAGGCGGCCCGGAGGGCCAGGCTTATCGGGGTGGGCGTTGTGGAAGTGTTGTAGGGCTAGCGGAGTGTTTTGAAGTTACTCGCTTGATACCAATCTGGGTCCGGGTCCCAACCCTTCCAACTAACCTGGTATTGCAGCTTTCCCTGGCAATCCTGGATGCAAGGACTTGGTCGATCTCCACTCGGATTCCCCTGTATGACTACCGGCGGGGCGGTTCGTAGGTCTGTCCTGGTACCGGATCCGAGGGCGCTTTAAGTAGTCGGCTAGCGTTAATAACCCGGTGGATTTTCATCGTTGGTGGTAGGTCCAATTCGAAAGCGTTTGGCCCCTTAGCCGATAAGACCCGAAACGGGCCTAGGTAGGGTTGATCAAGCCGTCACTCGGGCGTCCTGTTGACCAGTGTCCCTTTTCAGGTATACCAGGTCGCCTACCTCCCAGTCGACCTCCTACGGCGTTTATCCGCCTGCCGCTTGTATTCCGCCTGCTTGGTGAGTAGGGTTTCGCCCACCGGACCCCTCGGCGGCCCGGGAGGCGAACTGCTGCGCCGCTGTTCGCCCTAGCTGCTCTCTGGGGGCCGTCGCTGTGGTGGCGCCACGGACCAGTCGAACGACATTCGGGGTAAGTATCCCATCTCAAGCTCCGCAGGTGCTAGACCGATGCTCTCGTGTGGGTGGGTTGAGTGTGCGAAATCCAAGCAGGGAGCATTTCGGACCAGTTATCCTGGTAGTAGTCTAGATAGGGACGGAGCTTTGTCTGTAGGAACTGGTTTATTATCTCGGTCTGACCGTCCGTCTGAGGATGTTCGGCCGTAGATAGCTTCATCTTCGTCCCCACGAGGCGACAAAGTTCGTTCCAAAAGCTCGAAATAAACTGCGGCCCGCGATCTGACGTAATGGTCTCCGGTGCGCCGTAGGTCCTCCAGATATGCTCGTAGAAAAGCCAGGCCATATCCTGCGCGGTACAGGTCGTATATGTCGGTAGGAGAACGTCCTCTTGCTCAACCGACAGACCGTAACGAAGACCGCCGTATACCCCTTCTTGTCTCGTGGCATTGTCTTAAAGTCCATAGAGATGTGCTGCCAGGGGCGCTCCGGAATTGGCAGTGGCTGGAGTAGTCCTGCTGGTCGGAGGCGGGAGTCTTGGGACCGCTTGCAGTCCGCGCAGTTCGCGCAGTAACGGTCAATAAAACCTCCTATCCCGAGCCAGTAGTACCGTCTCGTTAAGATCTTCCTCATCTTATTCCGGCCGGGATGTGCCTGACTTCGCGGACGGTGCGCCTCGTGACAAAGGGCAGTCCGTAGGTTCGCCTCGTCGGGGACGACTAGTCGTCCATCGTAACAGAGGAGGCCACTCTGGACTTGGAACCGGGAGTCTGGTATCTCTGCTTGCTCCTTTCGGAGCGTAGCGAGGTGAAGCCCGGTTTGCCTGGAGGATCGCTTCGATAAGCTCGAATCCTTCCAGTAGGCACCCATCTCTAGAGTTTGGGGTCTCGGCTTGTCTTGCGGAACCGGGGTATATATGGCAATAGTAGGGTCGTCTCCGCCTGCGGCGCCTGCGGCTATAGCAGCCCTCCCGTCGTGCCCCTGCAAACTGAGTTGCTGGGATTAGGATCTGCGAGCGGTTCAACTCCTTGAGCGCCTTCTGTAACTGCACGTCCTGGGCCTTGCGGGAAAGAGCGTCGGCGACGACGTTTTGCTTGCCCGGGCGATAGTGGATTTCGAATCCGACCATAGCAAGGGTCTCGATCCATCGAGCTTGCCGTGCGTTTAGCATCCTCTTTGTAGCGAAGTACTGGAGGCTTGGTGGTCGGTGAAGATCTTGATGACTCCGGGAGCGACTAGGATACAAGGGGCATCCATTCCTTCAGGCACACGATAATAGCCAGGAGCTCCTTATCGTGTATCTCATAGTTACACTCCGCTGCGTTCATCGTTTTCGTAAGGAACGAGACCGGGTGCCATTGTCCATCGTCCGCTAGTTGTGAGCACGCCCGCGATAACCCCATCCGACGCGTCAGTCTCTAGCTTCGTCTCGCGGTCCTCTATGAAGTGGACGAGGACTGGCGCGGTAGTTAGAGCTGTCTTTAGGGTCTCGAAGGCCTCAAGGCACCGGTCGTCGAAATCCCACCTACTCTCCCTGTCAAGCGGTTTAGGGTCGGCAGATTCTACCGTAGTTACGGATAAACCGACGGTAGAAGTTGCAGAATCCGAGGAAGGACTGCAGCTCTTTTTTGCATCGTGGGGTCTGCCAGGTCAGGATAGCCGAGACTTTCCTAGGGTCGACGGAGATACCATCCGTACTAATAATAAACCCAAGGAAATCCGTCTTTGTGACACCGAATTCGCATTTCTTGATGTCTACTTGAAGACCCGCTTCCCGAAGTCGCTCTAGAACGAGCCGTACGTTTCGCATATGTTCCTTCTTATCTTCGGAGAACACGAGGATATCATCGAGGTAGGCCGTACAGAAAGAGTCGAGGTAGTCCCAAAGGGTCGTGTTAATAAACCGTTGGAACGTACTAGGCCCGTTGCATAACCCGAAGGGAAGGACCTTGTAGTGGAACTGGCCGTAACGCGTGCGGAAGGCGGTTAGTTCGACTGAATCCGGTTCGAGCCGGATCCGGTGGAACGCCTGCCTAATATCTAGCTTCGTAAATATCTTCGCCTTCGCAATGCGGTCTAGGGTCTCGCTAATAAGAGGATAGGGTACCGATCCTTCTTAGTTAGCTGATTGAGTTCGGAAATCTACGCAAAACGCAGCTTGCCATCCTTCTTTTTGCAAAACAGACAGGATCCGAACTGTGCGCTGCTTGGCTCAATGAAGCCCTTCTGGAGACTATCCTGTAAATACTCCTTCATAGTCTCCAGCTGTTCGCGGTTAAGGCTGTACAATGGGTGCGTTCGTAACGCAGCAGGCCCTGTTAGTTCGATCTTATGGTCTACCCTGGGCGGGACGGAGGCATCCTATTGCTGTCCTCGCGGGAGAACACGTCGGCTAGGTCTGCGAGCTCTGGAGGTAGCTTTTCTGCGAGGAAACGGTCGTCCTCGTCCTGTTGGTTATCCTGCTCGCCCCTTTCCCCGAGCGCCTTATCGATCATGTGAAGGTTGAGGAAAGTCACATCTTCGTAGGCATGCCGATGGTCCTTCCTGCGACGGATACCTGCGTGGAATGCTGGTGCCGAAATCATCAGTATATCGAGATCCTGCGCCCTCCGTTGGTACCGTGGCCTGATATCCTTCTGGCAGGGTCTCTCCACTCGATGCCCGCCAGTGCTCGGTTCATCTTCCCAGGTCATCCCCTCGATGAGTAGAGTACCGTGGACGATGTTGCCGTGGGCCGATGGTGCTCGTGGCCCTGTTGGTTCCTGTATCGCGGGAGAGATCTGGATGATATGGGCCGCGCCGTCTTCTTCCTGGTCCTGTCTTTCTGCTTCTTCCCAAAGGTGGTCTCGCCGCTCTACGTCGGCCTGAACTCGTAGGAAACTGGCTTCGGGTACATAAGACGAGAAGCCTTAAGTGCAATATCCGGGATCCAGTCCCTCTGGGCTTCCAGCTCAGGAGGGAAGATAAGGCGACGACGGCGGCAGTCGAGACGGATATCGAAATGGCTCAAGAACATAAGTCCTACGATCAGGTGGAAATCGTTCCTCGTCCCTAGGTCGGCCTCAAGGATCGGTTGATCGCGGAAAGTCCGCCCCTGGAGCTGGAAGTCTGCTTGGATAGAAGAAGTGATACACTGAGCACGACCATCAATTCCCTTAATATAACGCGGCGCTGTATAGCTGCGTCTAGGGAGGTCGAGTCGTTTAGCTGCTGGCTTTGTTAGGCGTGAGTTGCCTAATAGCCACGTTTGTGCTCCGGTATCCACAAGGATGCGTACTGAGATAGCGAGACCATGTTTGCGAATCGTGCTATTAATCACAAAACTAGGACCGCCAATTAAGTGATCAATTGTCGATAAGTTCAAGTTCTCAGTAAGCTTGCGAATACTTAGGATATAGCCTGTGCGGGAGCCTTTGCTCAGGCTATGGCATTTCCGCCACCTCGGACTCCTCATCTTGATCGTCCTGCGACTCGCTACCTTCGCTGTCCGATCCTTCCAATAACGCTCTCAGTTGGTCGTTTACCGTCCCCACTGCCGCCACAAGTGCGGCCACTCGTGGGGATCCTTTGTCGGACAGACGGCAGCCTGATGGCCCGGTCTTTTGCAAACGAAACAGTTCCCCTTAAAGGTACCATCAGACGGCAACGTGGTAGTCGGCGGAGTCGAGGGTCGCTGGGCCCGTAACTCGGTTTGGGGAGCGAATCGGACTGCCTTTGACCGAGGAGGCGGATTATTCCTCGGTCTGGGGTCGGTATCCTAGTCTTCGCAACCTCCTCTCGGTCCTCCTTCAGTCCCTCTAACGCGTCAACCTGGACAAGATACCGGGCAGTCATCCGGTCACGATATTGAGCAAACGTAAGCTCCTCGTACCGCTCGTAGATATCTTGGCTGTTTAGGCGGATCCGACCGGTGAGCTTCTTGTGAAGCTCTGTGATCCGGTCTCGGTCATGGAGTCCTGCTTTTGTCGCAAGGGTTACGAACTTCGCTGCGAAGTCGATAAAGGACTCCCCTTGTTTCATTTTCAGGCTATCCAGCCGCTGCCTCGCCTCCCACTTGTGGCTCTTGTTATCGTAAACTGACCCAAGGAGCTCGAAGATCTGACCCACGGATCTGATCTCCAGGTCGTCCTGTTTCGCGAGGTAGGGCGCTAGGACCTCGTGCGCTTGTCCCTTGATAAGGGTCGCGATCCACGTAATCCTAGCGAATTCGTCGGGAAAGAAGTAGGCGTTTAATTCCATCTTCCGCTCCACTGCTGCCTTCCAGTCAGCGTAACGCGGATTCGATCCATTGTCCAAGGGCTCCGGGTCCTTGATCTTGATTGTATTGTGCCGGGTCCGGGCTGTGGACGTAGTCGACGATGGCGCCTGCGAGGGGGTTCGTTCTTCAGACGGGGGAGATGGCGTGAGGTCGTGGGGTGTGTGGTGCTCCTGAGGGGGCCCGGGGGTATCCTGTCGGAGCGCCCCAGAGTCTTTGATGCCTGCATAGCTCGCCTCGATCGCACGGATCTGGTCCGTGTAATCCATAAGATCTTGCTGGCGAGCTCAGCCTGACGGCCTAGCTCCTTCTGGTTCGCGAGGGCTCGTTCGAGGATCTGACGGGCAACCTTCTCTCGGGTGCTGGACCGTTCGACCGTCCAACGAAGTAACTGTAACGCCGCGTTACGTTCGTTGACTAAGTGTTGCAGTTCCTAGCAAGGCCCTCATGTTTCGCATTTGCGATGACGCTTTTCACCCAGGCCGCGTCTAGGGTCCCGCTCGTGCGGCCTGTCTTTGCTGTAAAGGGGGTAGGGTTCTCCTGCGCGGCAAGGACGGTGTGTGCGAACTGCTGGACGAGGTCCTGGTCGGAATCCGTAAGGAGGAGCTCGTGCAAGTCTGTTGTCAGTTTCTGGGGGACCTGGAAGTCGCGGCCCACTCTAGCCGTCTCTTCTAACGGTCTCTGCATTGTCGTTCGTCCCTCAAGTAGGGATCAGGTTGTCTCTCGTTCTTCTGACTAGCCATCTGTACTTCGATGCAGTCGTGGTCGTCGGCGGGCCCGTCTAGGCTGGCCGGAGTCTCGCTCGTCGTAGGAGCCATCGTACGCGTACTAGCGGACGGAAGATCAGTTTCTAACTGATATCCTTGGAATCTTCCACGTAGGGTAAGGGGTGCCGGGTGTGCGGCGTGACCGGCGGCAATAACCACTTAGCGCAATTGGCAGAGCAATTAACGCAAATGGGTATTGGGGTCGGTAAGGGCGATCTTAGTATTATGTCACGGCGAGCGAAAGGAGACTGCAGACAAAGCTAGCAAGATACTCTGTAACGAAAGAATACTAAGATGAAGAGGAAAGAAAACCATAACTCCTAACGCCGTGACCTCCTCATATCCTCCCTGTCGCTTCGGACCTGGATGACGGGGCTGCCCGTACCTACCGTCGGAGCTGCCCGTGCCCGGAGCTGCCCGTGCCCGGAGCTGCCCGTCCGCGGGTGCCGTGCCCGTCCGCGGTTTCCGTAGTAGTCCCCAGGTGTGTCACGGTAACCCAGGGGTCCCAGGTAGGGCCCTGACAATTTGCAGGTCACTGATACCGAATTGAATGCTCTGCAGTCCCGATTTCTTGATGGGACCCCTAACCCTGAGCGCATGACTGATCTGGAGTATATGCCGCGTAGCGCGCAGGCTCACCACCAGATGCCACTGCCTTCCATTCGCAGGACCCCTATCGACGAATTCAACCGTTCTCAGCCGCTTTTATCGCTTGCGTTCCCTACCCTCTACCCCGACGGCAAGGCCGACTTCGTGGAGCCTCGCCTACGGAGCATCACGTACCAGGACTACCTTGCCCACGCGATGAGATGGCATGACGGACGTTTTGCCCGCCATAAGACGTGGCCTTTCGTCGCCCTCAACACGATGTTACGTGCGCAGGTCCGAAAGAGAAGTGACTACTTCGTCAAGCAACGCGACAGCCGCCGTCAACCCCTTACACGCGCCGACCTAGAGGAAGCGATGGCTGGGCCTGACGAGCCGGAGGCTCAGGCGCTGATCCAGTCAATCACGCGCCAAGCCGCGGTAATCAGGGGCACCCGGCCATATTGGTATAAGCAAAGGAAGGAATTGGAAGCATACGCCTATAATTTAGGCAAGCCTGGCCTTTTCGCTACTGCAAGTGCAGCCGATTACCACTGGGAATCCCTATACCGTCATATGCCTCGATTTGACGAGTGGCAAGCAGCTCCTGAGGCGGCGCGGATGGCTCTATCCCGGCAACTGCTACGAGACAACGCCCATATTGCTGCTTACCACTTCTATAAACGTTATACGCTGTTTAGGACTATTGTCCTGAAGCAGAAGTTCAACCTAACGGACTCTTGGGGCCGCTACGAGTGGCAGGGCAGGGGTTCCAGTCACCACCACCCTATATTGGCTAAGTGGCCACCCAGACTTAGATCCTGATAACGACCGGTCCCGGGAGCAATTCGCCCGCATCTGGGGATATCACGTATCTGCCATTAACCCAGAGCCACAGCGAATACAGGCGCCTGGGAAGGGAATCCTGATCGGTACTCTATTGGAACATCCCCTTACCGTTCAGTTTCTATCGATGGTAATCAACCGCGTGCAACGCCACCGCTGCAACAACTACTGCATGCAGGTCAATAAGCATACCAAGCAGGTGGAGTGCCGCTTTGGATTTCCTCACGGCCAGCGCCTACTAGCCTCCCTTGACAAGGTTCCTCACTCTAAACACTGGTATCCGAGGGTTTGCTGAGCGCCGCTGATCTGGTCGGGTGGGGCAATCCGAGAATCAGCGACCAGGCGGGCCAATCGTATCTGCGGATATCCACCCCACCCGAACGGCGCGCGCCGTGGATATACGCAGATATCGGTGCCCCCCGCTGATTGCGTCGCTGATTCGATGGAGAAGCCGCTATTCACGTTCGCTACGGCGCCCTGTCCACTGGAATTTTAGCGGGCGACCCGACCAGGCGGTGCGCATCGTGATCGCTAGATAGGGCATCTCTCGTCGCCGCGCGCCACCCCGCTCCAACCCGGACTGGTGGTCACTCGCAGGCTTGCCTTGGTCTTCCCCGTCACGATATATCCCATGGCCCGGACGCCAAATCGACGGAAGGCGAAGACAAAAGCGGGGCCCAAGCCGAAGCTCGCAGGAGCAGCGGCCGGGGCAGGGGCAGGGGCAGGGGCAGGGAGTCGCGCAAAGCCGTCGAGCGTACGAGTGGACCAACGCATCCGGCAGAACGCGATAAACGACGCGGAGCTACGCGCCAATGCGCAGACGATCCTCTCTGCGATCCACGAGTCTCGGCCAAGGAATACGACCTCGGCGTACGCACCGAAGCAAGAGGAATTCGAGCAATTCTGCCGCCACAAACAGTACTGTGACGGCGCTACGGTCACAGAGGAGAAGCTCCTCCTCTTCCTCGTCGAGGAGGTGGCCGGTCGGCCCTTGAAGGTCAGGAGCCGCAAGGCCGCCACTGATACTCCGCAGGACGAGACCCGCCTGGCCTGGCGGTCGGTCCGAACTTATGTCACCGCAATCACGGATCTTTACCGGACGCAGAAGGCCCTCGGAATGAATACGCACCCGTCGCCGCGCGAGGACAACGTACGAGAGTACCTCAAGTCCCTACAGCGCCGGGACGCCCAACGAGACAGGGAGAACTATGCCGATAAAGGCCGCGATACTCTGCTCGATGGTTACTCGGAGTCCGAGTTCGAACGAGTATGCCACGAGCTGTGGGCCCACAGCGGCACATCGCCCGAGTGTCATTTTCGGACCCTCGTGGATCTCCTCTTTGGCCATTATCTTCTCACCCGTGGCGGCGATCGTCGGGCTGCAGAGATCTCAGACCTATTCACCTTTGAGTTTGCCGGGGAGGGCTCGACCCGGTGCATGCCGCTCATCTTTACGACACGAGCCGGCAAGCAGAACCAGCACGGCCGCCTCGAGACCGCCGGCGCGTATCGGAATAGGAACCCGCTAATCTGCATCTTGGGTGGCCTCTCGTTCTACCTCTTGTATCGTTGGGATCTCGGTAGTGAGCCGTTTCCCGATTTCAGCAGGCGGTCCTCGTGGTACGACATCCGGCTAATCAAGGGTAACGGCACCGGCCGGACGGCGGCTTTCTCGTACAACTCACAGCGCGAGTGGGTTGTCAAGGCCTTCGCCTACGCCGGCGTCACGTCGCAGAAGAAGACGCATATCGGCCGCAGCTCGGGGCGAGGACGGCTGAACTAAAGGGGATTAGCGAAGACCAGATCCGTCGCGCGGGTCGTTGGAACCAGGAGCAGATGGTCGGCTGTTACCTGAACTCGTTGCCTCGCAAGTTCATGCGTACGATGGCCGGGCACCCGCCACAGGCCGGGTGCTTCGAGATACGCCGTGCCGGCGTGACGCCGCCGGAGGTCCTGCTCTCGATGATCTGGCCCGAGCTGGACCGTTGGCGAGGCCGGTTCGGTCCCGGTACCGAGCAGGAGAACGACCTGGCAGCGATGGGTTCGACGAACCTCATCTTCTATTTACGGGAGGTTGTCTTGCAGGATTCCGTTGTCCTGATGAAGAAATACCCCGGCAGCCCCGTTTGGAACCACCCGGTCTTCCGGCATCCGGCCTACGCCCCGTTCGCGCACCAGCTATCGGACTTCATCCTTGAAGAGGAGCGTCCAAGCCAGCTTGCAGTCCTAGTCCAGGCGATGCCGGTCCTCGCGGACTATCTTAAATCCATCGACGCGCGGAACGAAGCAAGGACGATCCAGCTTAAAACAGAGCTAAGCGAGCAGCTTCGAGCCACCGAAGAACGTCTTGCGGTAGCCCAGTCGTCCCTTTTTCGAATGGTTTCAACTTCCGTTACGGCCGCGACGACCACCACTGCCACCACGGCCCCGGCCGTGGTTGATGTCGTTGGGCAGGGAGGACGAGGAGATGGAAGCCGATTCGTCTCGGCTCAGTCGAGCATTGTTGATAGCCGTGCCACGAGCCCGACGGCGACAGATACGATCACGGTTAAGACAGAGCCACCGCCACGGTATCAGATGTGCCGAGCAGTAAGATGGTCGAGGCGCTCTGGAGCGAGTGGACGGTTGGCCTTCGAGGCGGGCCAGCCATTGCCGACCTCGACGGTAGATGGGAAGCCGGTGGCGCGCCGGGCGACAAAATGAATATGCAGTGGTATTCGTTACGGCTCGAGGTTATAAGGAGATTCGCAAGGTGGCGAAGGCCCACAGGTGTAGCGAGGAGGCCGCGATGCACATTGTCAACTTACAACAGCAGCAAACCGGCTGCTCGCTGGACTTATTTTGCAAACAGCTCCGAGCCAACAGAAAGGCAAAAGTTGTACAACTAAAGAGGTAGAAATACACTATTTTTGTTTCTCCCCTCGTAATTTGACGAGCTCGTCGAGCCTTGAGAGCCCTTCAAGACGCGGCGTTCCGGGCGGCGGTCGGCCGTCCGGCCGACCGTGGACAAGGGTGGATATTGGAAGCCGCTGAGGGCACGGACGCTAAACTGCGGTGTTGTGGCGCTCAGCCGCTGAATCAGCCACCAAAACCCCGCTGTGGATATCCTATTGATAATGTGTCGCCGCAGGCGTGATCTTAAGTGGTGATGCCATCCTTCCGCAACTGCTGAAATCTCTCTCCGTTTAGGCAGATAATGATGCTACAGTGAGAAAGTGTAGACTGTCTCAACTGAATGTGTTCACAGCTAGCTGAGGAACTGGAACGAGCTTCAGAAAGGGAAATCAGAGCAAAACTCAGGAAACGGGCGCCGGCTCCAGAACTTCCCAGCTCGTGTGGGTCCGGTCGAGGGCGACTGCCGAGACCCCACATGGGACCAGCCCGTTACACCGCGCGGTCCACGTGGCTGTGGAATGTCACGCGTATTTTGAAGACGCGTTGGCAAATGCGTCCTCGGCTGGGAACTACCCTACGGTACCTTACCAAGGACTCCGTCAATATACCCAGCGATCGATATCGATCGATTCAAAGCCGGACGAAATCGATCGATTTCGAAGCCTGATCTGGGCAGATGCATATGAGCCAATGGTACCAAGTCAAGGAGCTGGACGGAGACACGGTCATTGGAACATCACCGACTGGGTACTCGAACGACCATCACAGCCTACACTGGCTCAAACCGTTGCGATTGAACTTACTTCTATTCAATTCTGTCTGACAGCTCTCAACATATATATACATAGTGGCACGTCCGTGCCACTATCCAGTGACTCACCACTTGTAAGTGCTGCCTAAACATGTCTTGGTCCATGTCTCATACCAAGTCAACAGTTTCGTAGCAGGAACATTGCTCGTGCTTCGCCGAGCAGTCCATCCGACAACTAAGCACTCCGGCATCCAAATCGACCACGTCTGCTAGCCCCCTACTGTGACGGCTCAAGTGCACGAACAAGGTCGAGTGCGACTTGGGTAAAGTGATTGTCTACAAAGAAGGAACGAGATTCCTAAGACTTTGACTTCCGCTATTTTACATGGGTAAAAGTGGGGATGAAAGTCACATGATAGTTCCCTCACACCTACATATCCAGCAGCAGCAGCAGCACTCGAAATCCAAACCGCCCCCGGGCTAGATGTAGTACATGGTGTCCTGCAGCGTCTCGTGGACCTGGCGGCTCGCGGCGGGCGCGGTCTTGCCGGTGGTGGAGACGCTGTCGGTGTCGCTCGCCTCGAAGATCTCGGGCCGGTGGGCGCGGGCGCGCTCGCACACAATGTCGGCGTAGTAGGCGGGCGGGCAGATGCTGACGGCCTGTGGCGCGGCCGTACAGGTAGCACAGCTCGTGGGTGAGGCGCTCGAGCTCGTTGGCGGCCGTGGCCTTGTACTTTGGCGAAAGATCTCGTCGAGGATGACGGTGTAGTGGGCCGGGCGGGCGGTGCCCTTGAGGGCGTGGTGGGCCGTCAGGAAGAAGTCCCAGTAGCGGGCCTGGGTGACGCCGCGGTCGACGACGGTGCCGTTGCGGATGTTGCCCGAGTCGGACATGACGTCGCTGCTGGTCGGGAAGAAGCGCGTCTGGTGGCGCTTGACCGAGACGATAATGGTCAGGCGCGGCGGCGACGCCTTGGCCGGATACTTGGCGCGGCAGGCCTGGCGGATCGACGGCAGCTCCAGCTCGAGCACCTGCGAGAACTGGCCCTCGGACACGCCGTCGCGGAAGATGACGATGTTGTCGGGCAGGGCGCTCTGGTTGTGCTTCTGCCACAGCTCGAGGCGCGACTTGAAGGCGTCGACGAGGTGTGCGCTCAGCATCTCCTGCTTGGACGGCTGCTCCCACGAGCAGGCCGGCCACTGGGCCAGGTCCTTGTCGATGCTGGCCACGAGCCCGACCAGGCTGGGCGCCTCGCACGCGTCGCGGGCCGTCGTCATGTTGGTCGGGTGCGTCACGTCGTAGCCGGCCACCATGGTCTTGCCCTCCTTGAGCAAGCCCACGTCCTCGCGTAGCCGGTGGTTGACGCCGCCGGCCTTGAGGTTGACCTTGAGGCCGACGTTGGCGTAGTACATGAAGTTGTTGGGCTTGAGCAGGTGCTTGGACGTGACGACGCTCGTGTGGATGCCAAAGGTGCAGTCGCCGAGGCTCTTGATCTTCGAGTACAGGCCCTGGCTGTCCTTTTCCGTGAGGACAAAGAAGACGTACTGGATCCGGCTGTTCTTGGCCCACGTGAAGAAGTTTTCGAGCCCGTCGCCCATGGCCCGCTCCCAGCTCGTAAACATCTTGCCGTCGCCCGGCACCTGGGGCGAGTCCTTGATGCGGATGCCCATGTTGCTGCCCAGGAACTTGGCAAAGTCCTTCATGGCCGACACCTCGATGATGGGGCTGTCGCTGCGCTTCATGACGTTGAGAAAGGTCCAGCGATCAATCATGGCCCCGGGTTTGACCACGCGCACGTTGCGCATGTTCCAGCTGCCGTTGAAGGGCGACACGTCGGACCGCTTCTGCTGATTGTTGAGGTAGCTGATCATGGGCACGTTGAGCACCCGGCCGCGGACCGTGAGGAGGCTCTTGTCGACCGAGATGCCAAAGGGCCTGAGGCTGTTGTCGTCGAGCCCGAGCGTCTTGCGGCCGTCGGCGCTGATGGACGTCGCGTTGGAGTAGGGCGAGCGGCATGCCACGTCCAGCATGGCCGTTGTCTCGTTCATGGTGAGGCGCGCCTTGACCGACTGGCCCGGCTGGATCTCGATGACCTCGGCAGGGAACAGCGTCGGCTTGTCGGAGCGGCCGAGGTTGACCAGCGGGTAGTCCTGAGCGTTTTCTTGTACTCTGCAGCCACGGGTCAGTCCTAGTCCAAGAAGAAGAAATGGCATCCAAAACTCACTCATCTTAAAGTAGTCAAAGACGGAATGTACTGGCCGCCGCCTTTGCCGTCGTTGAGGAAGAACTGCACCTGCTTGGGCCCCGGATACTCGTAGTTGGGCGCAAACTTGAGCGGCTTGCCGTCGGCGGGCTTCTGGCGGGACAGCTCCGACTGGCTCACGATGGCGTGGATGGACTTTGTGCGGCGCACCGCCTCGCCCGTCGACAGCGTGATTTCGGCCCAGACGCGCGTCTTGGGCATGAACTTGGCAAAGGCCTTGATCTTTCGCATGGCCTGGTTGTCAAAGCCTGCGTCGGGCGGATCTGGAAGCGGTCAAAGAGGTCGGCGAGGCGGCCGGCGGCGCGGAAGACGCCGTGGCTGACGTTTGCGTTGAGCAGCAGGCGGCCGGTGCCGAGGCGGGCCGACTGGAAGAAGCCGCGGGCGGCGATGAGCTGGTGCCAGTCCTGGAACAGGTCGGTAGCGGCCTCGTCCCTGCCAAAGGGGAAGAAGCGGGCGCTGCCGACGGCCGAGATGTCGTGCAGCTTGGAGCGCGGGCCGTGGCCGAGGACGACGTTAAGGGCGTCGACGACGTCCGGGTACTTGGGGAAGAGGTCGTCGACAGGGCCCTCGCTCATGGAGCCGACGTACTTGAGCAGGGCGTCGAGGGGCGCCTCGGTCGGGCCGTGGATGGTGGCCTCGATGACGTCCCAATTGTTGCCGCTGGTCTCGACGGCGAGCCGGAACCGCAGCGGGTTCTCGGCCAGCTTGAGCTTCTGGAGCGAGACGAGCTGGCTCTTGTACTCGGTGGCAAGCACCAGCGTCTTGTCGGCGGCCTTGAGGGTGGCGAGCAGCTCGCGCACGGCAAAGTAGAGCTTGCGGCCCTTGACCTCGCGGCTCGCGGCCTTGACCGACTTGGACGGCTCGCCCGACGACGTCTCGGAGCCGACCTGGACAAACTCAAACGTGTACTTGTACAGCACCATGGGCTTGAAGTTGACGTTGAAGTAGTTGGACCACAGCGTCACGGGCTGGCCGTTTGTGCCAAAGGCCGGCCGCAGCGGAAACACGTCGGTGGACCGGGCCTGGAGGGGGGCCGCCTGGATGTTGGCCTTTGCCATCTGCGCAGCGAGGCCGGCGGCCGACGACGCCTGCGTCTTGATGAGGCGGTCCTCGAGGGCCGTGACGGCAGGGTCGGGCGGCGGGAAGGATCCATTGACGCTGCGGGCCTTGTCAGCGGGCCGGGTGTCGAGCATGGAAGACGGGGGCAGGATACATACTTGTAGGCCAGTTCAGTCGTCGTGTCGCGCGGCCGGCCCCCGCGACCGCGATAGCCTCCGCGGTCACCGTCGCCGCGGCCGCGATAGCCTCCGCGGCCGCCCCGGTCAGAGTAGCCGCCCCGGTCTCCGCCCCGGCCGCGTCCGCCTCTCCGGCCGCGGTCTGCCATTGCAACTGCCAAGTCTATCTCCAGGGACGTGTCAAAAAGAAAAGTAAAAATAGCGCGGACCGAGCAAGGTCTATCGCGACAGGCCAGGGTCTTGGCCGGGGCACGGCAGCGGGGGGCTTACACGTTATTTATATATGAATACACCTAGGTGCACGCCAAGGCGGTGAGCAAGCAGGGCAGTCGCCGTTTGCGCGTGGCGGCAGAGGCCGTGACGAGGGCTGTGAAGAGGAACGTGTGCGAGGCAAGCGCAGGCGCAGGGCTCGGGCGTTTGCTGGCTGTGAGGAAGAGCACGGGCTCGCACGAAGTGAATGGCGCGATGAGATGGGCCAGTGTTGGGTGACGGGCGACGGGCGGGCGGGGAGAGAGAGACTTGCAGGAGCCGAGGCCCGTCCCGTTGTCCTTTTATCCTTTTTAGCCAGGTCCTGTTCCCGCAGACTGTGCACCTCGATGCGCCCGCTGTTCACGACACACTAGAGAACAGGGCCGGAGAGGATGCTGGCTGGCCTGGCATCGTCGACGAGGTTGCAAAAATCAGGACGCAGAGAGGGCGGCGAGGTGGTAGTTGGGACCGAGTCAAGAGCGGGCCGAGCCTCGCGCGCTATGTACATGGCCGGGACATGTACGTATAAGGGGTAGTTAACAATCCACCGCATTGCGCTATCCATACACTTAGCCGTCGCCGACGAGCCAAAAAAACATATCTCCGGCAAGGAGGAAGTATGACTCTCGGCGATGGACAAGATCTTCAGGCTCAGAATGACATAGATGCACAGGTAACACAAGAAATACGTCAGAGCTGTGGTCGCAAACCAAGGACATAATCGAAGGGACGGCGCTGCGGCTTCTGCAGGAACCTAGGGCATAACGCGAGAACTTGTCAGAGAGCTCTAGAGACGTCTGAGGAAAACTCTCACGAAGAGAGCATGCCAAGTGGGCATTGATTGTGTAACAATAGGTGTGATCTCTTGTATTCCCTTGTGTCTCGTTGTGTCTGTCCCTCTTGCGATGCCCTCTTCTAGGCTCCCTATTTATATCCCCTTTTCAGTTGTATAGGTACAATATCTAGGAGGCTGGGCTCCTTTCCCAGCCCCCCCTTTGCATACTGACTTTCCCTATCCGTAGTCGCCGAGAGCTCTTTCAGCTTCCCCCGTATATGCAGTCTCTCTACAGCCTATGTGGCTGCCTAATGCGGTCTCTAAAGGGATGATTGTGAGGCTCGCACTTCGCGGTGGGCTGCACAGTCCAGCCGCCTCCCGCTCCAGGCTGCTTCTTAAGCCCAAGGGCGAACTTGCAGTCGGTGCATTGTGACGATGTGTTCGGCCGGCTCTTCGACTCGTGTACGCCTGGGTCGTGGTTATCAACGTACGGGCCGTACTTCGTGCAGATGAGCAACACATAGGTCGGCGCACGAGCCGAAGGCTTCGCATTCCGGCGCCTAAGGCCAAAGCCGATCTCCCAGCCTACGGTCTTGCAGGCACGAGTAGCCTCGGCCTCGGACTCGTAGGTGGTAGAGAACACAGTGCTCATGGACTCCATAGCGGCGAGTGGTACGGTGACGTGGGTGGCACGGTCGTGACGGGGGCGGAGCGGCGGTGATAACGGCGTTGCAACCGATTAAGGCGTTGTTAAGATATCGCGAAAAGCTTCACTTACGGGTGACTGTGTGATGTTGCGCGGCGTGCCTTGTGTGCCGGGGAGGTTTGCCTTGAGGAACGAAGAGACGAAAGGATCCTTCTTCCGCCACCTCCGTAAGCTCGGGCCACTTAGCGCCCCGTGCGAGCTGCGCCAGCCTTCACCGCCACCTTCCACTCGGCTTCATGCCTTTCCCGAGCCACACAACAACTTCTCCCCTCCCTCTTTTTTTCCGTTCTCGCCTCCACCGCCCGCGTTGACCGCTCCGGCTCCGGCCCCGCTGCCCGGGCCGGAGCCCTACTTCGACCATGGTCCAGCCCGGCCCCCCGATGTCCATTTGGATACGGATCCTGTGCTGGGAGACGGTCTACCCCAGAAATCGACGTCATGGGGCCCTTGTCGTATGGGCAAGGACACCATCCACTCCGCCAAGAACCGTACAACACATGATTGGCCCTCCCGTTTTGCGGGATGTGCTTCTAACCCTAAGCCCCGGCGCAACCATCCACTCGTCAACCGGTATAATAAGTCATTGGCGGTCGGCCTTCGCCACAATCACGACGTCTCGATGATCTTGACCAAGACCAAGGGCCTGGCCATGGTGTACTACATCACGAACTACGCCACCAAACTGGATACGCCGATGTGGAAACGCATCGCTCTCGCCGCCGAGGTTGGCCGCCACCTTCGCGAAGCCGGTCGTCCGACGTCTCGCGTACCAGATCCCGCCCTGCCCGACGACAGGCAGCAGGCAGTATTGAATGAAAGCCGTCAGTTCCTGATGAGAACGGCAAACCGCATCTTCTCCGAGCGACAACTCTCGGCCGTGGAGGTCTGTTATCACCTCCTTGGATATGACACCGACTTTACCAACGTGCCGCATTGGTCTTTTCTGAACTTGACGGCCCTCTACTGGGCGATCTTTCGGCTTTGGGCACATCTCCGCCATCAGGCCGGCGAGCTGACGGACGCTAAACAGCCCGCGGAGACAATCCGTCTGAGGCAAGGAGGGCGGACCCTTTATACCTAGACGCGTACGCGTACCGGGGCCATGTTCTACGAGAGCTATGCCTATATGACTATATGTCAATGATTTATTTGGTGCGTCGGAAAGGCCGGAGTGAAGACGATTCTCATATTTTTCTCGATGGGCCCGCTTCCGACTGTGACGGCTGGATGCAACGGCTTCGACGGCCCGACCAGTACGCCGTCCCGATCTTCCAAGGATACATCAGCGACGACCATGAGGACGATCACCCAGTCTATATTAAGCGGTACGCTCTAACCCCCCGGCACCGTTTTCGCTCCGTCTGACACTCTCTGTAGAAACTCTGTCCTACATTTGGCGTTATTCGTCCCTTGGGAAAACTTCATTTCTGAGAGCCTAGGCGATATAACTGACATATGGACGACGCATCGGGCGGGCCTTTGTCCCCGCCTACGTTTCTACGTCTCTAACATTTGTCTTTTGAGGAAGTCTGCCGAAGACGCGCGTAAGGACGCGAAGCTCTGGGCTAGTCGATCGGAGGGCGATGACACAAATGACGTCGAGTACCCACTTGATGATGGCCGATACGAAGAAGAGCCTCCAGTGCTGGCTCATCGTCAGGCCTACAGAGCTCTACTCCATATTTTGCGAAATGCAGTGCAGGACACGGACGCGACGAGAGACTCACCCGTCCTTGGAGATTTCATACGCGATCTATGCGAAGAGAACCTGACTGAAGAAGAGCAACCTTTGGTGCAACGTCAGCAGGATTTGTACCGGAATATACCCCATGATCAAGGTGATGCCTTGTGCCAATTCCCAATATCCCGAGACGATGTCCAAGCAGCGGCCAAGGCCCAACAGCTAATGCATCTTCGGATGCTTGACGACATTGAGAGTGGTTCTCAGGGGACCATGCTTTCCGCGGATGGCGCCGACATCGACGATACGCTAGCTCGCTACGGCGATACGGAGTCCGCTGCTGCGCTCCCGGGCAGCGACCTCAATGAACAAGGCCCTCGGATGCTTGTCGACGTCAGTCCGGCAACTAGCTTCGCAGAGATGGGACACACCACCGCGGCCAGCTTTACACTGAACTATCCACAGAACACGGCCCTTCAACTCGTTTGCGTGTTTCTGGACAAGTATACTGCCAATCCGGACTCAGCGGGTCAGCATCTTCAATACACCGGCGGGCCGGGTGGCACGGGAAAGTCGAGGATTATCGATGCCCTGAAGGACGTGTTCGCGGCGAGGAACCAGCCACATCTTCTGCAGATAACCGGCACATCGGGCAGTTCGGCGGCCCAGATTGGCGGCACGACCATCCACTCGGCCTGTGGGTTAGATTCCCATCGCGATCCAAACAAACCGCCTCCCCCCTTCTCGGAGGCGAAGAAGTGGATATGGAAACAGAAGCTGGTACTCGTGATTGACGAGGTCAGTATGCTGGGAGGAGCCACTCTGCACAACGTCAGTCGTCACCTGCAGGCACTCCGTGACTGTCCGGACGAACCGTTTGGTGGGATGCCCGTCGTTCTACTGATGGGAGACTTCTACCAGTTCGCCCCCGTGCGGGAAACAAGCCTACTGATCATCAGACCGCCGGACCGAACAGAGACCCCCCTGCGACAAGCGACCATCTCTCACCACAGCGGCTGCAGATTGTGGCATCTGTTCAAAACCGTGGTGCTCCTCGAAGACCAAGTCCGCGCACGCAACGATCCCCAACTCCGTGCACTCCTGGATCGAGTTCGTAACGGGCGCCAGACCCATGAAGATCTGAGCTTGCTCAATGCCAACATTGTAGGACGCTCCCAAATCACCTTCCATGATGGTTTGCGCGCTATAACGCCGCTGAACCGCACCCGCTGGGCCCTCAACATGGAAGCTGTCGTGGGCTGGGCGCGCTTCAACAAGCGGCATATCCGTATCTTTGTCTCGACTCACACCTGGCGTAGCGGCGCGCTTTCTCCAGACATCGTAGCGCGAACCATCGGACAAGGCGACGACTCTGCCTGCAAAGTCCCCGGCGTCTTATTCTACGCCCAGGGCATGCCCGTGGTTGTGAACAAGAACATCTACACTGGCCTGAAGGTTGTGAATGGGGCCGACTTTACTGCCGTGGATGTAATAATCGATCCCAATCACCCGGGATACTGCTTGGCAGATGACGTGACCATCCACTTCGGGCCACCGCTCGGCATTCTTCTGCAGTCCGAGGAGACGAAGGCCTTGGCGATACCGTCCCTCCCGGTGGGGACGGTACTCATCCGACCCATGTCGCATACGCTCGATTCGACTAACTCTCACTTCAAATTCTTGTCGGCAAGATGCACGCGACGTGGATTACCCGTTGCGCCAGCGTTCGTCCTCACGGACTACAAATCCCAGGGTAAAACGTTCGTGGAGGTACTCTTGGAGCTGCGTGGAAATCATCTGACCAATGGCGAACCCTCCAAATGCGATTTCACGAGCCTCTATGTTCAACTGTCCAGGTGTACTACGCTTCATGGCATCAAGCTCCTCAGTCCCGTGAGATACCAGGATTTTATTGACAATACGCTAGATCGAGCCATGCTTGATGGAATGCGCAGACTCACAAACTTGGCGGCGCAAACGAGACGGGCATATGAGGGTGGCGATTCAGAAAAGCAGTGACAGTGGTCAATCCGATCGTTCATGTAGCCTTTTCGTGTGTAGAAGAGTCACACCTGATAAGGTGACCGGGCCGCACGCCAATCGTCTGGATCTCGCTCCCCTCCCTTCCCAGAGCGCAAGTGCTTTTGGCTTTCACGATAATTCACCCACCATTTCTCAAACGCGTGGCGGCTGTAAAGCCATCTCGGCGGCCCGTCTCCTTCCCCGAACAGGTCCAGGATATGGTCGCAGAACATCCACACTCCTTCAAGATGCTGCGGATAAAATGACTTCCTGTCCTTACGCGCGACCACGACGGTGCCAACTTGTGACTGCCATTCTGGAGGTGCAAACTCGGAGTTGGCATCAATATTGAGGTACGTAGCAATCTGGTTGTCGAGGTCTGCCTCGTTGACGGACTGAGTCCCCGTCCGATACAGGACCAGCGGGACCTCGATGAGCGCTGGGACGGACGGCACCGACTGCGAAAACACGACATGATTCGCAGGGATTGTTAGGGGTGATATACGAAGGTGAATTTTTTGAAGATTTTGAATGAAGGATGAATCAAATGAATTGAATTTTTGGGATCTCGATTCAAAATCTTCAAGCTCCAATTTTCGCGATTCAAGTTGGGTTTGGGCCAATTCAGGCCATTCATGAATGGTTTGAAGGGATCCCCCTAAACGAAGTGAATTTGGTGTGTACCTAAGCGATTGCAAAAATACCTCAAAACTCCAATAAGTAGTATATAGTTTTATAGCCCTCTGAGAAGTGTCTTGATAATCCCGAATACCACAAAAATTAACTTACATAAATACTGATCCGCATGTCCTAGGCAAATCGCTGAAAATAAGCACTTTCAAAAGCTCTGCCGAATCCTCAAAATGCGTCGGTACAACGCGTTCGAATCGCCATTGTGCACGGCTACACACTCGTAGAGCCTCAATCCTCCGAAGCCTCCATTGTACCTAGATAAGGGGTTGATATCGCAGACTTATTGGCTTGGGAAGCAAGAGGTTTGGGGGTGGGAGGTTCGGTGGGAGCCTCGGTAGGACCCTCGGTGGGAACTTCCGCCGGAGCAGGGGGTTTAGGAGGAGAATTCTCGCCTGAACGCAGATTAGCATTACACACAAACAATGAGGGTATATTCATACCATTTACCAGCATTCCCGGAATGTGGTCTGGTCTCCAAATAATACTATTAGCGAAGGGCAAGATGTCATACTCCATGGCCGCCTTGATCAACGCCTGATCGATCTTATCTTCCTGAGTATAAGCACTCCGTAGAAGTGTTAGTACTCGCGCTGTATCTGCCTTCAAAGCGTGACGGCGGATACCGAATTCGTCTCTACAACCACTGAAGAGGCGTTCCACGTCAACTTCAGAGCCAGGGACAGAGAGGAGATCACGCGCCGCCGCAGCCAAAAGTGGCCACTCCTCCTTGTGTTCTTTCCACCACTTCCGTAAGAAGTCTGGAGACTTTGCAATAGACTCGTCGAACTCTATTCGGGAAGTTGCAAACCACCGTTCAAGCTCCGAAATAGGGATCGCCGCGCCCGCCTCCGCCTCCTTCGCCTTCTTCATTTGGATGGCTCTCCACTGCGCAATGGAGACTCCTTGAGGACGCTCAGCTGGTCTGGATTGGCTCATAGATGAGTTTGTGGCATCCAATGTTGCTAGCTCCGGCCACTCCGTTCTGAAATACTTTTGACTTTAGCCATAATCTCAGAGTATTGATCCGGTATCATCATTTCTAGTTGGTGAGCTTTATACCGCGGATCCAGGATGTGAGCTGCGAATAGCATCATTTGATCGTCAAGCTTCTTCATATATGTAACGTGTTTTGCTTTGCCCTTCGAGAAGGCGTTTCGAATGGACATATCAAGGTCTGAAAAGTCGCCAACCCCTTCGACTACATCATCAAGGAGAGCTTCCAAATCCCAATAGATATCGAGACTTTGTGAGATCTGCGGCATAGCTTCGGAGACTTTCAGAGTGTGGTCTTTAAACGGCTTCAGAACCTTCCGTAGTTGATAGAGCGCGACAATCTCTTCCGATAAGGGCAGGGGGCACTTGACTTGCTGGTGAGTATCAACGAACTCGGTATATTCTGCCTCAAGCTCCAGGAATTGGTCAATCATGTCGTAGGTCGAATTCCAGCGAGTGTCGACATCGTAGGTTGGCTTCCGATGGTGCGTGCGGGGCATGCTTTTGAAGTCTTGCTCCCTAGGCCCGGATCTCAGCATCCAGAGATTAAGGAGGCGGATTTTGGCAATCCCACTTCGACTAGAGTCTCCCGGAACGGTGTAGTTGTTGCTTTTATTCTCTTCGTCCCACTTATCCAGCATCTTCTTGGCTTCCTTCGCTGTGCCTGCCTTGAGATCTTGCAGGACGCCCTCGCAAATGAGTGAGGTAATGTGAGCTAGACAGCGGATCCAACTCTTCCTGCCGTGAAAGCGCATGCGGGCCTCCCTATTGGGCTCACCTTGTCGTCGAACTTGATCTTGAGAGAATCGTACAGAGACTGACAGAGCGTGCCGTTGTTGGCGGCGTTGTCTCCCGTAATGGCGAGAAGCTTGGGCTTGAGCCTGAGCTCCTCACAGTGATCGGAATGGTCCGGTATGAGTTGGTATTGGTATGGTAAATACCGCCAAGACCTGGTATGGTAAATACCGCCAAGACCTGGTATGGTTTGACAAAAACTTGATACCATGGTATTACCGGTATACCGAATCATACCAGTAACGCTAAAAATAAGCTCAGGTAAGAGGCTCACTGCGGAGAATGACCAGGCAGAATCCGAGCGGCGATGATTCCAGTGTCATCTGTAGGGCTTATTGACCAGTTTTCTGCCAGTTTATCTACTCCATTCCATCATGAATACCATCATCCTCACAATATCGACCTGGCTACCTTGGTCAGGTCGATCCGGCACCGAACGGATGCTTTTCGTCTTTGCTGCCGGGTAGCTATCCCAGGAAGGCCCGAAGGTAAGGCTAGTGTTAGTGCGTAAAATACTTCGAACACCCGTTAAGTTGCCAAGGCAAGGGGCTTAACGGCTGAATATCCAGCCCGAAGGGTGAACATCGTATTCCTGCAATTCAACTTTCCTAGGGGACCCCTAGAACCCCTTTGCCTGCGGCGGCCATCCAGCTGTTTAAACCGCTCCTTGACTGGCCCAATCTAACTATATACCCTATATCGAACCTCCCCCTTCCCTGTAGCTTATAGGAAGACGTCGTTTAGTCAAGGTAGAGTGGTGGATACGGTGCATCGCTCAGCTGTTGACCCTGACGCCGTTGTTGGTCAGCGAGGCGCATCTTCATCCCTGCTTTAGCCTTTGTAGTTAGCCGTAAACGCAGCACGTAGGGAGACAGGCTTATAAACCTTCTGTCGGCGTGTGGTTATAGAGGCTCTGACGATCGAAAGGCGCCTCAAGGAGTAAGCCTTGCAGCGACGTAACCCGTGACACAGCAACATAGCTAATACCGGCCTGGAAGTCGCGTGTAGCGAGATCAGTAACTATTTGCTCCTTCGTTAGGCTCTGGCATTTGTGAACAGTGATAGCAAACGCCACCATCAGGGGAAACTGCGTGCGAGCGCAGGTCTCGTTGCCCATAAGGAAATCACGCCTGACTGGGAGGATGGGTGAGATTTTCCTGCCCTCGTTAGTTATTAGATATGGCGGTCCATCGTAGCTATCAAAGTCCACCATAATAACGGCCGGGGATCTTCCATGGTTCGGCGCCTGGGTTCCAGGCGATATCGTATACAGTACCCTGGGCACCGTTAACTAGGCCAGCTGGCTGCCATAGGTTAGTAGTGAGCATTACCCTGGCGCCCTTAGCAACAGGGAACTTGTTAGATAGATTGCCAGCATTGTCGCTTGGTGCCTGCCCCGCGCCCTTGCCCTGATTCTTTGCCTCCACCTGTATTGCCGGGGCGTTGAGATGCACCATATGCTCGTAATTGTATTCGTTGACCCGGGCCCTGGTAGAATACACCCGCAAAGCGGCCCTGAAGCTGTCAACCTCGCTCTGCGTTAGCCTGGACTGTACCCGACTGCTAAGGAGGTTCCAGGACGGTATGGATAACTTGACTTCACGCAGTTCCTGCAACGCCCGACGGAACTGAGCCTGATCATCACCAGCCTGGCGCTGTACCGTGGTCAGGAAGACGGTGCGGTCAAATAACCGGTAGGCCACCTGCCCTCTCCTTTCCAACGAAGACAGGCTGGTGCTAGTCGAATACAGGGCTTTTGCCGGACTGGTGGTAACTGGAAGAAATCGCCCACAAGCAAGACGCTCACACCACCAAAGAACTCGAGGCTACGCTGTGGAAAGGCCTGTCGCAGACGGGAATCGATCCGCGCGAGCTGCTCAATCCCCAGCATGCTCTTTCATCGATCACGAGGTATTTGACGTGCCGTAGGCGGGACTGAAGGGCGGCTGCGTCGGCTGGGGGAAGGTCGGTAAAAGCACCACCTACTGGGAGGCGTAGCAATGAATGAATGGTGCTGCCCTGTATCTGGTTACTCGCAACGCCTGTTGGCGCTACGCGGCAAATAGGGCTAGGATTCGGCAGAGCGGCCGCCTGAAGATGGGAGGAAAGCACCTTGATAAGGAACGACTTGCCGGTGCCACCACCACCATCAACGTGGAGAAGGATTTGAGTGGGATTTCGCGCCTGGAAGTGGCCCATGAATGTGTCGTACACGAGCCGTTGTTGTGGATTCAGCGTATTACGCCATTGAGGCCAAGGACCTCCACATCGTTGGCCATGGGGTGGCTAGCGATAAGGTCCTTCCAGTAGCCATCTCGAAGTTCCGGATATGTACCCATGCCGTGTCCAGTCGTAATTGACGTCGATATCGCGGCGGCCAAGAAGGTCAAGAACTTCCTGGGTAAGGGGTGGTCAGGTAAAGGGCAGCGAGGCGAATCCAGTCTTCGTCATCAAATTCTTCCCCACAGGCAGAGCCTCATATTGATCATCTTGAGGCTGTAATCGAGCCTCTTTTGGCTGGCCGTAATGGTCATCACCATGATTGTGATGCTGCCAACAATAGGAGAAGGCCTGAACGTGGGAACTAAAAGCCTGGCCGTCGATGTTGCCTGGCCGCCATTGCTTCCATGCGGAAGGGTCTCTAGAGCGGAAATTCCAGTGTTTGAGGAAGGAAACGTAGGTCAGGTCCTTCAGGGCTTCCGGGCGCTGACCGTACTTTTCGTAGACGTTGGGGCCTCGTCAACCTCATCGCCGTCAATGCGTAAGGAGCGGGAATGTCTGTCAGGATGACGGCAGTCAACGTATAGGCAGATTCGTGAGCCCTCCTGTAACGGCAGGCCGAGGAGTAAGTGGCTAACCTCCTGCTTCGAGTAATCCCGTTCAGCAACTAGCTGATTCAGGAGCTTTGACGTGAAAGAAATCAGGGGGTTGTGGTCCTTGACCCGGGGCATCAGCGCCTTCCCAATCTGGGCAAAAGACTCGCTCTTCTTTTCTGACTTGGAGCAGTATTTGGCTGCGTAATCGATCACCTGCTGGAGGCTCGTGCAGGGAGAGACATCTGTATTGGCTAGCCATGCAACGGTAAGCAAGCGGTTGTAGTGGTTAATCTGGCCATCGTTCCTCCCACCCCTAAAGGTCCAGTGCTTGGAGTGAGGCAACTTGTCAAGGGAGGCTAGTAGGCGCTGTCCGTGAGGAAATCCAAATCGGCACTCTACCTGCTTGGTATGCTTATTGCGCTGCATACAGTAGTTGTTGCAGCGGTGGCGTTGCACGCGGTTGACTACCATCGATAGGAACTGAACGGTAAGGGCTGCTCCAATAGATTGCTGATCAGGATTCCCTTCCCAGGAGCCTGTATTCGATGAGGCTCTGGGTTAACGGCAGATACGTGATATCCCCAGATACGGGCAAATCGCTCCCGGGATCGATTATCGTCAGGATCCAAGTCTGGGTGGCCACTTAACCAATATAGGCCATGGTGGTGACTGGACCCCCTGCCCTGCCACTCATAGCGGCCCCAAAGGTCCGTTAGGTTGAACTTCTGCTTCAGGACAATAGTCGTCGAAGCGTATAACGCTTGTAGAAGTGGTAGGCGGCGATGTGGGCGTTGTCTCGCAGTAGTTGCCGGGACAGGACCATGCGCGCCGCCTCAGGAGCTGCTTTCCACTCTTGGAATCGAGGCATGTGACGATATAGTGATTCCCAGTGGTAATCGGCCGCACTTGCAGTAACGAAAAGGCCAGGTCTGCCCAGATTGTAGGCATATGCTTCCAATTCCTTCCTTTGCTTATACCAATACGGCCGGGTGCCCCTGATTACCGCGGCTTGGCGCGTGATCGACTGGATCAGGTCCTGAGCCTCTGGCTCATCAGGCTCAGCCATCGCTTCCTCTAGGTCAGCGCGTGTAAGGGGTTGACGGCGGCTGTCGCGTTGCTTGACGAAGTAGTCACTTCGCTTTCGGACCTGCGCACGTAGCAGCGTGTTGAGGGCGACGAAAGGCCACGTTTTATGGCGGGCAAAACGTCCGTCATGCCATCTCATCGCATGGCCAAGGTAGTCCTGGTACGTGATGCTCCGTAGGCGAGGCTCCACGAAGTCGGCCTTGCCGTCAGGGTAGAGGTAGGGAACGCAAGCGATAACAGCGGCTGGGAACGGTTGAATTCGTCGATAGGGGTCCTGCGAATGGATGGCAATGGCATCTGGTGGTGAGCCTGCGCGCTATGCGACATATACTCAACATTAGCCATACGCTCAGAGTCAGGGGCAACATCAAGGACTCGGGACTGCAGGGCGTTTAATTCGGTATCGGTAACCTGCAAGTTCGGGATCGCTGATGCGTCCGCATCGCAGGGATCCTCTTCCAAGGCCTCCTCAACAGGGCCTTGTGGGATCTCGCCGTCAGGTATGTCAGCCACTTGGCTAGCAATGGAAGCAACTATGCTGCCGTCAAGAGGAAGCCGTTGCAGGCGATCCTGGCTCACGACGATATCGCGATAGCCCGGTGGTGGCGCTGTAGGTAATACAGCCAGGTCAACAGGCATGAACGGCGTACCCGGAAATCGCGAGCAAACTGTTGCTGGAAGCGAGGGTCGCCTTCCATATTAGGAGGCCGTAGGAGCACGATATCTAGCTCCTTCGGTAGCACTGGGAGCTCTTCAAATAGCCTACCAATGTTGCGAAGAAAGTGGATAACGTGGCCGCGATATTTGTATTGAGCGCCACGCACTTGTAGGACCTTGACGTGTACGTGAATCCTAGCAATAAGCATCTCCTCAACCATCGTTAGATCGGGTAGATTGCCGGGGACTTCCCCAAAGTCGAGGTTATTCGCAGCGCTGAAGAAGTAGGGCTCGTCGAGGGCTTTCTTCCTGTCTCGACCAATGCAGCGGCTGCAGATTTTCAAGCTATTTCGTTTCATATCGAACCAACGCTCCTGGCAGCGAATGCAACTATGCATCTTGTCGTCATTCAGGGCAGTATAGAACTCTCGCACAAGCGCCTGATCTTCCTTACTAAGGGCGGGCAAGTCAAGGTCACCTGTAAAGGCGGATCACTACTCTGATCAAACAGCCGCGCTTGAGGCTGTGTGCCTTGACGAGTATAACGGCCGCGGTGATGACCCTGTGACAATAATGAAGGAGTGGTAGGAAGCGATTCCTGTGGTATAGGAGTGCCTTGCACAACAGGAGCTGTAGAAGCAGTGTCTTGAATCGGCGTGCCCAGAACTACTGTTGGCAGGCCAAGGGTAGGAGGAAAAGGGAAGGTCCTCAACAGGGCTTAGAGTAGATGGCCCCAGCGGAGGTATAGGCAGTTCCGGTGCAGGCGCCAGGCCACGGAATAAAACAGGCATGGCAGGAGGTCGTAGGTCAGTCACAGACGCAGGCGTTGGCGCAGTCCGCCTTGGAGGCGTCAGGTTAGCTAGCGAATCCGTCCTCTTCGTGGCTCTGCGTAGCGATGGTCTCGAGGCGATATTCCGCATCGCGGTAACGGCGGCTCGCGATTCGGTTGCCCGTTCTTTTCGGTGTGCCCTACAGCTAGCACACTGTCCTGTAAACTTCGTAGGGTCCTTGACGCTTCGAAATTCGACTTCGGGCAGATCTTGCTTGCAGGTACGACAGTTGCGGACTGCCTCGGGCATATTGTTCTCCATCTGACCGTATATATCCACCTCTTTCCCACCGAGACTGCTAGATATTGCTCGGGCAGGAGGCTTTGCGAGGACTTGCGTGGCTGCAGCAATACACACCCGCAGGTGGTGCCAGGGAATGTTGTAGCTAGGTCGGCCGCGGAGCTAAATTTGACCTAGAATCCGTTAGTAACCGATGGGTTCGATAGATTCGACCCACGATGGAAGTGGAAGCGTGTGCTTGGAAACTTGCATTGAAGAAAAGCTCGGAAACGGCTAGCTCGTTACCTAGTCAACGCTCAGGGTTTGCGGCATGGCCTTCATTTGGTGGCGTTGCCAACCGACCACTCCCCGCACGAGTTGAGTACAGGGGAGGCCAATTAGCCAATGAGAAGAGGTTTTATGCCTCTCTTTCTGACTGAATAAACGCCCTTCGGGCTGAATTAGAAAGTACTTCTCATTGCACCCAGTTTTATGAGTTCTTCCATGTAGGACGGAGCATGACCTAACGTATCACTGGCCAGACTTGTCAATCGCGTCGTCGGAGGGACAGGAAAAGCTTAAATGATCCTTTCAGGGACAGGAAAGCTTAAATGATCCTTTCAATCGAATTACTTCCGTGATGTTGGAGCCCGAAAATTTTTACGTTAGGCTAGTTGGACGATGGACCAAGATCGAATGATCGAAAGCCACCATACCTTAATTGGTGTATGTCATGATCATGGAATCTCCAGCGCCAACCTCGCCATCTTCGTTTACGACAATTTCAGCATCAATCCGCTCCAGATCTCCTGCATCGTGTCCCGCGCCACACTTTTCCGCTACGACGCCATCGTCTAATTCTGTCCGTTATCCTGAGCCTCCGGACGAATTCGTACAAGACCATGTCACGTACCTGCGTCGCGCGAAGACGACGAAGAAGGCAGCTCGTCTCGGCTCGTCGCATGTGTGGAAGTACGGTCTTCATTACATCCGAGACAGTGACAAGAAAGAGGTATACTACTGTCACGAATGTGCGATCGGAAAGTATAAGCAAGAGTTATTTGTGATCAATGGCACGTCGGGAGTGAGAAATCATCTCGAACAGAGGCACCAGATTGATCCACAAAGCGGCGTGAGGAAACGCGGTGCGACACGGGCGTCTGTATTGGAGCAACAGAAAAGCGCAGCTGCTAGTAGCAATTTTTCTGGAAAGATACCGTTGAGAGGTTCAAAGAGCTTTTGATTCGTTGGGTTGTGTACTGCCATATTGCTTTCTTCCAGTTGGAGAACCAGTACTTCGAGAGCTACTCTTCTTTCTGAACCCTGCTCTACTTAATCACCTCCCAAAGGCTGCGAAAACAATTCGAGGTTGGGTTATGGATGCGTTCCTGTCGAAGAAGCAACAGCTGAAAGAGGACCTCCAGCGGTCGCGGAGTAGAATCTCCATCTCCTTCGACCTCTGGACCTCGCCAAACCCGTACGCAATCCTGGGTGTCGTCGCCATGTGGATTGACGCCACCGGCAAGCGACGAAGTACCGTCCTGGGCATGCGACGCGTTCATGGCGAGCACAGTGGCGAGAATCTTGGGTCGACCGTTCTCGAATTATTGACGGAATATGACATTGGCGGAGATCAGATTGGATACTTCATGCTGGACAATGCTTCATCCAATGATACCGCTGTTGAGTTTATACTCAAGGAGCTCTGCCCATGGATGAAGCCGCAACAGCGTCGCCATCGCCGACTGCGCTGCTTGGGTCACATTGTCAACCTCTGCTGCCAGGCGTTTCTCATGGGTCGAAATTGTGAGAAGCATTTGGCGAAGCTTGAAAAGCACCACCAGCGCGGAGATTACGTGAAGGTAGAGGAGCTGTGGAAGAAGTTTGGATGTTTAGGCCGGCTCCATAACCTTGTGCGGTACATCCGGCTTACTCCTCAAAGGCGGGAGGAGTTTGCAGCAATTATTATCGGCGGCCATCTCTCCGAATTCGATGGGCTCGAGCTTATCCAGAACAACTCCACACGCTGGAATTCGTGGTTTCATTCGATCACACGAGCGTTAAATGTTCGAGAACGTTTGGAAATCTTCTCAGCTCGTCATGTACCAGGAGAGGGTCTCAAGGGATTTCGAACTTCAAACTAGATGGACAGCACTGGTTCGAGCTTGAAAAGATCGAGCTCGCACTAAAAGACTTCTTCGCGGCAACTATGCTTGCTGAAGGAAACAAGACATCCTCGCTGACTGGTTTTCGACTTTGACTGTCTTCTCCGCGAGATCAACGAGACGAAGGATCACTACCATGACATTCACGAGGAAGACGACGACGACAACTTCACGTGGAGGTATTCCAAGGTTGTGCAGATGCTGCGTGGTCAAAGTGCGAGGAGTATTACAGCAACCGACAACGGAATTGGCAACATCGATTTCCTGAAGATACTGATCTTCCGCCAGCGTATTACGCAGCTCAAGTACTCAATCCGTATCGAAAGTGGGCATGGTTCAGGCAAGAATGGGTTCTTCAGGGCGACGAAGGAAGACAGAAGTGGTATGAAAGCGCACAGCTGGCGGTGAAGCAGCTCTGGGAGACAGAGTATAAGGAAAGTACCCTGTTGAGGCGCTACCACCTCCAGTCAGGAAGGACAAGGATCCAGACCCAGCATTCGATCGGCAGAGGGAACATAAGCGCATTCGCATAGACGGCCCGGCTGCTGCCACCGATCTGTATGAGCAGTATATTTCGACCGACCGGCTGCATGACGAGGAGGCAGGTTGCGATGAGGCCATCGCCTATTGGCTATCCCGTTATGACTCGCAAAGAGACCTCGCCCGCTTCGCTCTGGATCTATTTGCGGTTTCCCAATGTCAGATGAGTGCGAACGGCTGTTTAGTAGCGCAAAGCTTGGTATAGTTGATCGTCGAGGTAGGCTTAAGGCAGATATCATAGAGGCTTGTGAGTGTCTACGTGCCTGGTATGGGAAGCCTCGGGCTGAGGATAGCGAAGATAGCGGGGATAGCGAGAATGAAAGCGAATAAGCGATCAAGTTGACAGCTAGTAGCCAATACATTTCCTATTTTTGCAACCCGCCTCATTCTGAGCGGTCTTGGCGGTATTACTGGTATTACCGGTAAGCCATACCGGTAAGGATATCAGCAGGTGGTATGGTATGGTATAGAGGTCATACCATACCATACCGGACCATTCCGATCACTGGCTCCTCAAGTGTCTTCTCAACTATCTCAGCTAGTTGTTTGCCAGTGTGCGATCCTTTGAGCTCGATAAACTCAATAACCTCTTCTCTCTCCTCAAACTCCGGCGTAATCCAGTGCGCAATAATGGCGAAAATAGGCACCCGATTCGGTGCTGTCCAGATATCAAGGGTGAGCGAGATGGTAGCACAATTGTACTCAAGCTCAATCTTCAGCTTCTCTCTGCGTTCGACAAAGTCTGTGTAGATATGATTGCGTAAAGTTATACGACTCCTGTACACACAGGTTGTATTGTGAGCCAAGAACATCTCTTGGAAAGCAGGGGTCTCAACAACAGAGAAGGGTTGTCGGTGTTTTACAAACCACTGGCGGATAGACTCCTTTGCCGTGAGCCTTGCTCTTTGCCGGGGTCGACCGCTCCATGCATCTGCCTCTGTATAATCTCCTCCGCCAATGGCGCGGCCGTATCCATTGATTCGAGCGTGGTGAGACTCCTTCGTAATATTGTGGGATTTTAAATGGTCTCCCATGCCAGAGGTAACCCTCGGCGGTTCGATTCAAGGACCTGGAATATCTTCCGAAGAGTAGAAGGATTTTGAAGGCACTCTATACAAGTCCACCGGAACTCTTGGAATATCTTCGGTCCATACTTGTACTCCGAGTAAAAGCTCCTGTCAATGGCTTCCCTCTGCATGTACCAATAAACGTGGCTGTTCTTGTCTCTCTTCTTGCGAACATGCTTCTGTTTGTTGTCGGCCCACTTCTTGATCAGTCCGGCTTTCTCTGCGAGCGTCATATGACTACCGGTACTGTTCAATGGCGGCTCTGGTGTATCCGCGTCGGGCATGTCATCATCTGACTCACAGTCAGGATGGCCCGGGGGGGCGCAGACAATTGTATCTTCGCCAGTCGGAAGAGGGGACGAAGGAGCCGGAGCTGTGCTAGGATCAGGGCGCGCGCGCGCGGGATTCTGAGGGTTGAATTGAGGACGTTCGATGCGGGCATAGTTCTGCGTTGGCAATTTACGCCGGGTCCTAGGAGCAAAGAAACTTGCTGCGGCAGATGTTTTCGATTCAGCAAGGGCCATACTATGTATCATGT